TAACTTCCTAGCTGTGTGACCCTGGGCAAGTCACTTAACCCTGTTTTCCTCAGTTTCCTTATCTGAAAAATGAGCTGGAAAAGGAAATGGAAAACTCTTTCAGTGTCTTTGCCGAGAAAACTCCAAATGGGGTCATGGACATGACTGAAAAAACAACTGAACTGAATGAACCCTGTGTCAGGCCCTAGAGACACAAAGACAAAGCAGAAAGAATGCCTGTCCTCAAGGAGCCTTCCTTCTGTTGGGGAGACAGTGTGAACACATGCACTCAGTAATGTGCACAATTGCTCCGGGTTGCACAGAAAAGCACGTTAGTCACTGGAAGCAGCAGCAGCAGCGTTCTTCCCAGGATCACCACAGAAGAGTTTGGAAGATGGCTAAGGCCAAGGACTGGACCCAGTGGCCCAACGGCCTTTTTGCTGTTGCCCAGTGGGCAGAGTCAGAGACCGATGGATTTGGCTGGCATAGCGCTCCAGAGGCACACCAGGCTGCCGCCCCACCACACACCAGCGAGCACAGAGAAATCCCTTCCCAGGCCATCCCACATTTCCTTCCCGATCACCAGTGGGGTTGAAGTGAATCCAGGCATTTTCATGTAGAAGCCTCCCTCCAGATCTCTGGGGAAGGGCAGAGCATTCCCCGATTGTCCTAGCTCTCACCCCTAGGACACCTTATGTGCTTCTAGCATGCTGGCTCTACATTACTTCTGTTTGCCTTTGTCCATGTTTTATCCTCATTCTAGGCTGTCTTACTGGAAAGAGCAAAATGGGGGGCACAGAGAGCTGGCCTCATGTCCCTGTTCTGACGTTCTAATAACGCCGTGGTTCTGGGCCATTCCTTAGCTGTGCTGAATTGCTGTCCACATCTGTAAGATGGAGATGACAGTCCGGAAAGCCCTTGGTATGATGCAGACGTTGATTTAGTAGGAGTTGAAATATGACTGATTCTTGGGGAAAAATATATCAAACACGTTATTAAAGGGGTGGCTCACGAAGGAAGTGGCGATCGCTCACCGAGAGCCAGTGTGACTTGGTCAGGAATTGGTCACAGCAGATGAGCCTCGTCGCCTTTTCTGACAGGTCACGGGGCACTGTGGTTGCCATATATGTCTGTGTCTGCATCGGGGAGGGGCCAGTGGAAAGACCACCTCCTCTGAGCTGGGTGCACCTGAAGTCAGGAAGACCTGAGTTCAAATCCAGCCTCAGGCACTTATTAGCTGTATGACCCCTGTGCAAGTTGCTTACCTCTGTCTACCTCAGTTTCCTCTTCAGTAAAATGGGAGTAAAAATAGCTTCTCCCTTGTAGAGTTGTTCTGAGGATAAAATGAAATGTTTGTAAAGTGCTCAGCACAGAGCCTGGCACGTAGTAGGTGCTCTATAAATGGCAGCTATCATTATTATTATTATTACTGTTAAGTCTGTTTGGGGTACTCCATTTTAAGAGACCCACTAACAACTGAGGAGCTTTCCTGGGACAGACACTAGAGTGAGAAACGGCAGGGGAGAGTAGCCAGGACCTTGTCATTTCTCGTAACACCTCTGGGCTGTCAGGGCTGGGCAAGCGCCTTCCTGTCTCAGAACTCTAGGCAGCTCTCTGAGACTCCAGATTGCCAAGAAGGGGCTGGCTACCTGCGCTGACAGAGGGAGTTCTCCCGGGAATGCCCTGTAGCTGTGAAACCCCAGGTCCACTCCCCTTCTCCTGCCTCAGAGTGAGCTCTCTCGGGGCAGCAGCTTCCTTTTGGCTTGTACATGGCAGTCCCCAGTTTACAGACAGAGGGTGTCCTGTGAGTTCATATTGAAAAGCTGTGGAAGTCTTAGCTGAGCACAGGGCCAGAAGAGCCAGTGTCTTCATTCAGGATTGACCTGCTGGCCCACGTCAGTGGTCGTTGTTGGGGAAGAATAGATTCTCCTGGTTAGGTTTCTAGGCTAGTCCATCCATCTCAGGTCTCTGAAGCCATTCCACCTATCCCTGACCACCTTTTAAAATGTTTCCATGAGCAAAAGACATTGTGTTCCCAGGGATCTTAGGCACCCATCTCCTCCCCAGATCAGAGATGGACTGCAAATTTCCGTAGCCCCAGTCCCAGGCTCTGAGTGCCGTTAGGAGCATAGAAGGTCCTGGTTCTCCCAGGCTTATCTCTATGTTTGAGAAGGTGTCTCCAGAGATGAAGCTCAGTCTCCGAGGCATTTGAATTGGGGGAAACACACGTGAAATTGGGATGAAGCGGGGGAAGAAGTGGACTTGCAATTAGCCTGTCTTGTCCATTTATAGGTCAAGAGATCACCTCTGTTGAGCTTGTGGTCAGCTCAAACCCCAGATCTTTTCCACCTTTTCTTCCCTGGTTTGCATGTTGGATATTCTCAGAGTTCCTGGTATTACAGACTGATGAAGGCAGTGCCACAGGATAGAGTCAGGACTCCTGACTCAGGAGAGCCGGCCATGGGTCCATCCAGCTCCTTCATTCTGCTCCCTCTCTCAGCCTCTCACGGGGGACAGACAAGCCCGTCCCTCTAGCTCACGTCCACCACCGGTGGAGAACAAGGCTTCTTCCTTCTGGTGGCATGGGGGAAGGGCAGGAAAGGAAAGTGGGAATGAGGAAATGGACTCCAAAGGCCCTCCATCAGCCTGTCTTGGTCAATATTCCAAAATCTCTGGTTTTGTAGGATCAGTCTCTCCTCTCCAGTGCAGGCCAGCGGGAAGTCCCCTGTACCTTCATGGACGGTGTTCCTGATAGCTGTGGCTCTCTGGTGATGACTTAGCTCAGCTGGTCCTTAGAGAATGACCCACAGGGCTTTGCCAGGTCCATGCAGCCAGAAGGACCTGCCAGAGGTTCTACCTCCAGGACCCAATCCCTGCCATGTTGTTACATTGAGGCCTAGGAGGAATTCGAGATGAGATAAGCACCACATCTCTTTAATCTTGGCCTTTCCTGCCCTTCCTCATGTCACCAGAAGGAAGGAGGAGCCCTCCAGGAAGCAGAAGGTTAGCCATAAACATTTATTAAGCACCTACTACATACTGTGCGCTATGCTAAGTGTGTGTGTGTAGGGGATACAGACAAGAAAAAGACAGCCTGCCCGCAGGGAGCTTCCCACACAGAAGGAAGCTAAAAAAGGCAGAAGGTGCCCGGCCCAGGGAGGGCCTGTCCACCCCAAAGTGTACAGCTGGCTGGAAATGAGAGGGCACTTTGTTGGGCACCATGGCTCGCCAGCCTGGCAGGGGGCCTTGGGAAGGGCAAACCCACAAATGGTGGAAGTGGGGGAAGATGCACCTGCTTGTTTTACACTGAAATGAAGGATGGTTTAAAATAGAGTCGCTCATGCCAGGAGAGGAGGGACACAGGGCCCTTCCTGGCCTCTGCGCTTCCTCATTGACCTTCACCAACAGCCCCCGCCTGTGTTCCCCACCTCAGTCACACAGGGATGTTTACTCTACAGATGCTATTCCTCTGCTGCTTTTGAATGAGGGTTAGGGTTAGTATCGAGTACGTGAGGCTTTCCCGAGCCGCCTCCTGATTGTGCGTCCTGCCGTTTGCTGGGTCCTGAGCTGGTCTCCCTGGAAGGGACCAGGCAGGGCATCCTTAGCCTTTGGTGGGGGGATGGGGTGGGAAGCTGGACCAAGTTTGAATGATCACCCCCGGTCCTCTGGAGAAGTGGGGCTTTGGTGATTGGGATGGAATTCCTGGATGCTGTAGTGAATGCTGAGATGGAGAGGAACAGGGTTTATATGAATTTAATGAGGGATTCTACCTTCTTTTTAATCTCATCAAAAGTAAAGTTGTTTTCATTGCTTTTTATGGTTCATGAGGCTCTTATTGCATTCCAGCCCCAAACCCAAATCACTGGGTTGGCCCAAGCTAGGCCTGGCCCAGAATGGCACCCCACCGAGTCTCAGTCAGTCATGTTTGTGAAGTCCACTGTGCCTCCTTGCATGGGATTTGGGACACTCTCTCTGTTCACTGACCACACCTGGCACGTTTGTACATCGATATCTGAGGCCAGGCTTCCATCTTGGATTTGTCTCCTGTGAATCCTCGGTCCCTCTTTTTGCTGTATTTCCTCTACCATCTCCAGCTTGTCAGATCTCCAGGGGAGTTTTTGCCCTCCCCTGCTTCTTCAGTCGAAGGCCCCTTTAATGGACTCCAGCATGTCTATCCTGGTCCTTGTCCTTGTCGGTAATTCTCTGTCCCTTGTCTTCAGGCCACAATTCAGAAACACAAAGCCCTCTGGCAGACGCCATCTTCTCCACTAACTTGTTACTTTCCAAATCAGTGTTTTCCTTTCTTCCTTCCTTCCTGGAGATGGCCATAGAGAGACTGCTGGGCCACCACAATTCCGTGGCGTTGGGGCTCGGGCCCGGGGGCCTCATCGTCCTCAGCGATGCTTCTTTGGTCCTTTCTGGCACTCTCGTTGGTTCCCACCCAGATCAGTCCAAGTGGGCAGTGGGAGGCTTTCCTGGGAAGGAGCACCCAGCCTCTGGTCTCATTAGTTTTGGAAACTCCCAGAAGAGGAGCATCCCTCTACAATGCAGGCTAGCACCTTCTCTGCAGTTTATAGTCTCACTGTTGCCTGGGATAGCTAGGCCAGGGTCACAGAGCCAGTACAGGTCAGAGGCAGGATTTGAACTCAGGTCCACAGGCTCCAACTCTTTTATCCCATACTACCAAGTTGTCTCTTATATATGGTCAAGAGTCCCCTGGGCTTAACCTGTGCAGCAGATGGAAACATGGGGTACACAGTGAAGCCCTGCCATGTCAGACCTCTCCTGCTTTCCCCTTGCCGTGATGTCCCTTTCCTGGAGGGCTGGCCCTTGTCCACACCAAGCTTTAGGGGTTCCAAGGAGGGCATGGAGATAGACTGGTCAGATGGGCAGGAGGAGAAGCGGACCAGAGCCGGAGCGACTCGGGGGGGGCACTCCTTAGTGACTCAGCAGAGAGCGGACTCCATAGAGCAGCAGTGACCAGGCTCCTTCGTCATCCTTTCTCTGTCCCCGTTCCCCAGACTCTTCCAGCTGGACACGGAGGCCGATGCCATGGTGAACTTTCAGCAGTTTTTCTTGGTGCTGCCACCCTTTTATGAGAGCTCGGCCCGGGTGCTGCAAGTCGACATCCTGCAGCAGCTGACTGACTGCATCCGCAGTCACCCCAGCTGGTCCATGGCCCACGTGGCTGTGGAGCTGGGCATCCGAGAGTGCTTTCACCACGCCCAAGTCATCAGGTGAGGAGCTGGGAAGGGAGCCCGAGGGCCCGGGGGGGGAGGGGCCGCAGCCTTGGCAATCTCTGGAGACTCTCTTCCCACTCCGCTTCCTCCAGGGGGAGTGTCCCTGTGGAGCTAAGGGAAGGAAGGCAGGTGACAAAAAGCCCCAGTGAGCATGCCCAAAGAAGTCCTAATCCCCTGCTTGACCGAGATGGTGGATCAGCTTGGCCAGGCCTGGGTTGTCCCTCCCACGTAGGGACTTGAGCTAAACTGTGAGCTGAAACCCAGACAAACACCACTGATTGTTTAGCCTCAAAAAGAGAAACCTCAGACCGGGGGGGGGGGCAGTAGGGAGCCCCCAGTGGGCAGAAAGGAGCAGGTGACATCACGATGACCATCTTCTAGCACTGGGAAGGCCGTCCTGAGGAGGAGGGCTGGAGGTTGTCTTGTTCGGCCCTGGAGGGGAGAACCAGGGACAATAGAAGAGGGAAATGCAGAGAGTCTGATCTCATGTCAGCCTGAGAAAACCTTTCCTCCCACTTAGAGGGGGCCGAAAGTAGCCTGGAGTACCTTGGGAGGAAGAAGGGAGGGAGGGAGGAAAAGAAGGGAGGGAGGGAGAAAGGAAAGGAAGGGAGGGAGGGAGAAAGGAAAGGAAGGGAGGGAGGGAGGGGAGGGAGGGAGGAAGGAAGGAAAGGAGGGAGAGAGGGAGGAAGGGAGGGAGGGAGGAATGAAGAGGAGGGAGGGAGGAAGGAAAGGAGGGAGGGAGGAAGGCTCTTTGGTGGTGTAGCTTTAAGACTCACAAAATGTTCTGCCCCCACACACTGGAGCTCTCCAGCCAAATCCCTGAGGACCGTTTGGTGGGGGTGTTGTAGAATGGATTTGGGGTGACAGAGTGGGGTTGGGGAGGCAAGGCCCAGATGCCTTCTGGGGCCCTTTCCAACTCAGAGTCAGTGCTTCTTTGAACTGAGAGTGAGAAGTTGTTTTTTTTTTAAAGCAAATTGCGATCCAAACTTGGGTTTAGAAAAATCTGTTAAGTGTTTGGAATTGAGGCTTTGTGTTTTTCTGAGACAGTTGGCCCAGAGCCTTCAAAAGCCTCCCAGTTGCCCCGCGGCCAGCAGATACTGTGTTAGGCTTGAGGTTGTCTCGTCTCCGCCCGTCCCTTGCATTGCACCCACTCATGCCCCTTCTCTGGCCTCTTCTGCAGTTGTGCCAACAGCACAGAGAACGAGGAGGGGTGCACCCCCTTGCACCTGGCCTGCCGAAAGGGTGATGGGGAGAGCTTGGTGGAGCTAGTCCAGTATTGCCACGCCCACGTGGACGTCACGGACAACAATGGGGAGACCGCCTTCCACTACGCCGTGCAGGGGGACAATCCGCAGGTGCTTCAGGTGAGGACAGCAGAGGCCTCCCAGGGCCCCGGGACTGGGCTCGCCTCCTTGGTTCTTCTCTGTGCTTTGCTGGCTCCGTGCTGGCCCTCGGGCTTTGGCATTCCCAGCCCTGTGCCTCATTCTTGGGGTACCCAGATCAGTTTGTGATCCCTAAGCCTCTCGCTAAAGAGCTCTGGCTGCTTCTAAAACCACTCATCTGTACCAGCCCTGAGAGGAAATGTGAAGGTTCTGCTGGCCTTCTGATCTTAACCAGTCTGGGATGGGGCATGGGCCCTTGCTTATCTCCTGTCAGGGTTTGGGCCAGGAAGGTTGTAAAGAACGCCTGTCTCTTTAATTGTGTTCCCTTGGGACGTTCCGGAAGGAAAGGGGACCTGGGGACAAAGTAGGGCCTGACAGATTTAGGGCAGTTATTTGTAAGCCGGCCTTGAACCTCACGTTACAGCCAAATCCAGCCCCAGACAGTGAGGGGTCAGTTTGTAAGAAGGCAAGTGAGGAAGAGCTGCTGGTCTGCAGGGGTGGTAGGGACACCTTCAGAGGGCGCTGCCCACATCAGTAGAATCACAGGGGGTCTGCATATGCACACATGCAGATGTAGAAGACACACAGGCGCGTGTAAGAAAAAAGCAGGCTCGCAGACAACTAGCCCTGGAAGGATATTCCAGGTGTCATCGGGTCCCCCATCCCCTCGTTTCCAGGGCAGAGTGAAGCCAATTAGTGCCTGACGGGTGGGGGGCTGCAGATCTCCAGGGAAGCCGATGCCCTTTTTCTGCAGTCTGCTTAGTTCCCTGAGTGTTACTGAGCTCCAATGAGTGCTGAAGCTGTAGCATCTTGCCAATGGTCACGGGTTCACAAGTAGCGGAGTCAGTGCCCGTAAGGGATGTAGGCTCAGAAAAGAAAACGGCTGGTCGTCTGGCACAAGAGAGGGGCCGCGGGAGCTGCGTTCAAGCGTGTCAGTGCTACCGATGTCGTGGTTGAAGTCCTAGGCCTTTGATATGTTGGGCGGATCCATTATGGAGGATTCATGAGTGGGCATAGACAAGAATCATCAAGGGTAGAAGATGTGAACCAGGGGGAGAAGGGGAAGGATCCTTGGAAGGATTCACAGCCTATAGCCCACCCCGAGGTGGGCGGACAGCGTGGGGAAGGGTCTTAAACCACCTCACGTGAAGAACTTCTGAACTAAGTAGGCCTGTTTAGTTTAGAGACTTCCTGGAGGCATCTGGACAAAGAATTCTGCCAACTTTAATGGGCTACATCAATGGCGGTAATATCATTACTGTCGGAGGATTGTAGAGCAGGGAGGTGAGAAACCACTATGACTGAGGCAGCGTCATCCACTTTTAGACAGCTTCTGTTTTATCAGGGAAGTTTCTTCTTATATAGAACCGAAGCATTTGATCCCGTTTTTATCCTCTGGGGCCAAGCAGGGAAAAAAACCAAACCAACCCCCTGGAGAGCCCTTTCAGAACTGATACCAGACTGCTAAAGACTCTCTGTTCACAGCCATTCACCTAATTTCAGATTCACCTCAACATCCCATCGTATTGTGTAGCCCCCCTCTCTCTATGAAACTTATCAAACGTTTTGCCAGAATTTGGGTAAACTCTGTGTCTTTTGAGTTCCCCTGATCCACCATTCTGCTCACCCATTCATGAAAGGGAAGGCCTGTTCTTGACAGAGTCCCGCTGGCCCTTTGGGATCACTGCTTCCCTTTTTAGCTGTTCACCCACCATCCCTTTAATTAGTAATTACATGATAGCATTTTGCCAGGAATAGAAATCAAGCTCACTGGCCTATGGTTTATGGACTCTATTCTACTCCTTTGTTTTGGTAATTGGGACAGCATCCAGCCAGCCAGCCAGCCATCATTCCATCCATCCATCCATCTGTCTACCCATCCATCTGTCTATCCATCCATCCATCCACCCATCTGTCCATCCATCCGTCCGTCCGTCTGTCCATCCATCCATCAATCCATCCATCTATCCATCCGTCCATCCATCTGTCCATCCATCCATCCGTCATCCATCCATCCATCCATCATCTGTCCATCCATCCATCCATCCGTCATCCATCCATCCATCCGTCTGTCATCTGTCCGTTCCATCCATCTCCATCTGTCATCATCTGTCCATCCATCCATCCGTCATCCATCCATCCATCCATCCGTCATCTGTCCATCCATCCATCCATCCATCTGTCCATCCGTTCACCCATCCGTCCATCTATCCATCTGTCCATCATTGATCTATCCATTGTTCTCCAGTTCCTTTTCTCCCTTCGAGGATCACTGATGGCATCTCAGTTCTTTTAGTCTTAAGAAAGTAATCACTCCCTTGGGCCAGGAGACCTGCATTTGTCCCGGGGAGTGTGGTAATCTTTTATCACTGTCTTCGTTATCTTGGGTATTTGTTCTGCCCTCTGCGGTTCAAACATCATTCTCCTTGGAAAAGAAAGCAAACAGAGACCCGAGCAGCTTTGCCTTCTATTCCCAAGCCCATCCCAAAGGGCAGCAGATGCTTCTGTCCCTTTGTCTAGTCTTCGCTTTTCTCTAGGGTGGCTTCAGCCGGCCTTTTTGTGGACCTCGCGTCCCTGCTGGCCTTGGCTCATTTGGCGCGTAGGCCCTCCCAACGCTGATCTGATGGCCGGGTGGTGCCAGGCTGCTGTGGTCGTCCTCCGTCACCCGCTTTTGCTTCCACCCTCTGTGTGGCTTTTTAAAATCTCGGGTGGTTGGTGGGAATCCTGCGCGTCCACATCCGTCTCTTTGGACGGGTCCTCTTTTCCTTTCTCGTCAGAATTGTTTTCTGGTGCGTCCAGCAGTTGATTCTTGATGGCTTTTCGTGCCCTCCTCATCTTGGGCTGACTTCTTCTGTAGGGTTTGCGTCCTCTCCTACCGCTCCTTCCTCTGAATCCTTTGAGATCTTCCTCCCCTCCACCCCCAGCTCCCAAAAGGAGGACTTGCTTTTCCCAGAGTTTCCATCATTTCCACTCCCAGCAGCCTGTTCCCCCCTGACGATAAGAATCAGATTTAGATGAGAATTTCTTCGTGGGGTTCTTCTGCCTTTCAAAGGATGAAAGTATCACGAAGGTAAGTCAAGGAGAGTCAAGCTTCTCAGAAACGGCCTGGATGATGGAAATTTCCCATCGCTCCCGCACTCTCCAGCTTCTGTGCCCCCCTCCTGTCCAGGCAGTCTCTAGTCTATGTCAGTGACACTGTGCCCAGCATGCTTGCCCCCCCCCCCACACAGCCTTCCCGGCTTCTTCGTGCACAGTGTGAGCCTTGGCGGTGCTCGAGTCGGAGTCCCTCGGTCATCGTCCTGGGGGGGATGAGGAATTCATAAATGCCTGTGTTTACTTAGAACTTTCACGTTGGCAAGAGTACAGTATTCCCCCTTCCCCTCCTCCCACCAACACACACACACACACACATAGGTACACACACATTTATACACACACTCACATAGATACACACTCATTCACACACACTCACATATACATACACACTCACATACACTTGCATGCGTGCACACACACTCACATAGGTACACACATTTACACACACTCACATACATACACATTCACACACACATATACATACGCACTCACACTTGCACACGCACACACACTCACACAGGGTACACACATTTACACACACCCTCACATAGACACGCACACATATACATACACACTCACACATGCACATGCACAACACACTCATACACACTCTCACTCAAACACTCACATAGGTACACACACATTTACACACACACTCACATAGATACACACTCATTCACACACACTCACACATATACATACACACTCACGCTTGCATGCACGCACACTCACACATACACACACTCACATAGGTACACACACATTTACACACACTCTCGTAGATACACTCACACAGTTACATATACGCACTCACATAGACACACTCACACATATATATACACACTCACATACACTCACACGCACACACACACACACACATTCACACACATACATACACACTCACACACGCACACTCACCCCATCTGCCAATGCGTCTACTGTAAGATCCCTGCCATACTGAGGCAGAGAGGGGGTGGAGTCACTTGCCCATGGTCATGCCAGAACTCAGACCCAGGCCATCTCTGTCGCCAGCCCATGACAGTCTTACAGCTGTCCAGCTTCCCTAGCTTCCTTCTCCCTCCTGGGCCCTTCCTAGATAAAGATGGGCGGCTGGCAGCTGGAGCCGGGGCAGGAGGCAAGCGCGGGCTGTGCCGTGACGGCCTTCGGGTCTTTGTCTCTTCTGTTCCCCGGCTGTGCCCTGGCTGATCCTCGGATATACCAGCTCCTGGGGAAGAACCCTTCGGCAGGACTGAACCACGTCAGCAATCGCGGCCAGACGCCGCTCCACCTGGCCTGCCAGCTGGGCAAACCGGACATGGTCCGCGTGCTGCTGCTCTGCAATGCCCGCTGCAACATTGTGGGTCAGCACGGCTACCCCATCCACACGGCCATGAAGTTCTGCCAGCGGGGGTAAGGAGGGGCCCCTTCTGGGCAGAGCCAGGGTCCTCCCAGGCCCCCTGGGAGGCCAGGGATGCAGGGAGATTATCCCCATCGTACAGCTGACCAGGCAGCACTTTCCTCAGAACAACCCCGAGAGGTAGAGGGACCGAGATGATTTTCCTTTGATCACCAAGGAAACTGAATCTCAGAGACGTGAAGTGACTTGTCCTTGGGCTCCTAGGACCAGAAACAGAACTGACTAGAGTCACAGGACCTGGGTTCAAATCCTGCCTCTGAGACCTCGGACAGGTCCCTTCATCTCTGTGTGCCTCATTTTCCTCATCTCTAAAATGAGAGTCAGGCCCCTTCCGGTGCTAGGATCCTGGGAATAAGCTGTAGAGCGGCATTCGCAGCAAGGTGTCCCAGATCCTGTTCAGCTCTCTTCCTCACAATGTCCTGTCTCTAATCTGGAACAGGATTCAGTTCAGCAGGACTCTGTTGGGCATCTCCATTGAGCATGCCTGCATGATGTGAAGTGCCACGGGCATGTACAGACAGGCTGGTGTGGCATGACCTACCTCAGAAGGGGAAGACCCGGAGGTGATGTGGGTGGGCCTCTGAGCAACAGAGTGGGAGACTGAGGCCCAGAGCAGGACAGTGGCCTGTCCAGTGTTGCCCAGCTCTATTCAGATGGAGGCCAGACAGAGGGGATTCCTGCATTGGGCCCCCGGCTGGCCAGGACAGTCTCTGAGGTCCCCCCAGTGCTGTGATTCTGAGCAGATGGGATGGGGGCTGGACCGTGAAATAGCAGAGAACAGTGGATGACCAGGCACAGAAAGTAGTCAGTGACACAGAACACAAACCCGCTGTTTAGAGCACGCAGTAGCTAAGGATGCCCCCGGCTTCTTGGAAGGGCATTGGAAACAGTAGGACTTGAGGTGAGCTCGGAAGGCCTAGGAGCCAGAGAAGCCTGAGTTCAAATTGAGCCTAATTGTGTGACCTCGAGCAAGTCACTTCGCCTCTGTCCACCTCAGTTTCCTCATCTGTAAAATGGGGATAGTAACAGCACCTGCCTCCTGAGGTTGTGCAGCTCAGATGAAATCTTTGTGGAGTGCTTAGCACACTACCTGGCATACTTCCCTTTGCCTGGGAAGCCCTGAGCATGGATCCTGTTTACCCTTCAGTGCCCACTAACCAGAGGATGGAGGTGGGGTAGGGGTGTGAGACGGGCATAGACTTGGGACAAGGCATCCAGGTGCCTTGGGCAAGGTTGGAGAACTGTCCACTGTAGGCCGCGAGCTTTCACTGTCACATACAGCCTGCCGTAACGCCATGGAAACCAGAATTTTCTGGCGTGAAATGATGAACATTTGTAAAAAGTCACATTTACAGATGTCTCCCCTGAGTTCCCACCCACCCCGACACACTGCCTGCTCTCCTGGCCCCACTGGCTCAGGACTGCGGGGGCTGCGAAGCAGCAGAGCCCCTGCTCTGTGTACCCAGGGCCCCCGTCCCCAGCACCCACTCACTGTCCCCTTCCTCCCCTCCTGGGGGCCCACTCTCTCCCCAGGTGCGCTGAGGTGATCATCAACATGGACGGCAGCCAGATCCACAGCAAGGACCCCCGATATGGAGGCAGCCCTCTCCACTGGGCCAAGAACGCAGAGGTGGGTGGGAGCAGGGGGCAGGGGGAGGCATGGAGAGGGTCCGGCCGTTTGCCCCACCCGAGGACTCCCAGCAGGGTGTGATGGGGGGAGCCTGGCCCTGCTCTCTGCTGTGATTGCCCACGTGGGCCTTGCCCAGACACCCCTTTCTGTTGGTAGAGTTCCATGTCCCTCGGTCAGAGGGGGAAGAAGGGGAAGGATGGGAGAGGAGTGGGGGCATCTGGCTTGCTCGGCAGGAAGGGTGGTGCCTTGGAGGAGCCCGCTGTTCCTGAATGGGCCGCTCTCCCCACGAGGGCACTGCCGGGGACGGCTGGGGAGCAGGGCGGCCTAGGGCTGAGAGCTTGGCAACCCATGGCATGGAACAAGGAAGGCAGGGGAAGGCGTCACCCCTGCCCCTGCTCCCTGGAGACATCCGGGCCCCTGGGTGGCCGTGGGGGCACCGTGGCCCTACCCCCTCCTCTCTGTCCCCCTACAGATGGCTCGGATGCTGCTGAGCCGGGGCTGTGACGTGAACAGCGTCAGCAGCTCGGGGGACACGGCCTTGCACATCGCAGTGATGCGGGACCGCTTCGACTGCGTCATGGTGATGCTGACCCATGGAGCCAATGCCGGGGCCCCCGGGGAGCACAGCAACACACCGCTGCATCTGGCCATGCTGGTGAGGCCGCCAGGCTGCCAGGCCTTTCCCTCGGGCCGGTCACTGAGCGTTCAGCCTGGGGGAAAGAGCTTTGAATCTCGGGTCTGCCCCGGGCCAGCTGGGGGCCCCCAGGGTCGTTGTGGGGAAGGTTCAGGGCCAGCTTGCGGGAGTGCTTTCTGTCCTGCCGGTCGCTCTGGGCAGGGCAGCTCGCAGGGCCTGGTGCGGGGATGGATAGAAGCAGAGACGGCGCTTTGGAGCCAGAAGGTCCCATTGTTCTCGAGGAGGAAACTGAGGCTCAGGGGTGGGGGCGGGGATTGGAAGACCTGGGTTCGAGTCCTGATTTGGTCGTTTAGCCCCCTGCGCTTGGCAGACCTTGGAATGTGTCTGTACCTCATCAATGCAGTGAAACGAAGGGGTCCCCCTCCGTCAGGGAGCCCTGAAGGCCCGGGAAGCTGTCAGCCCCCGGATTCCTGTGCTGCCCACTGCCGGCTGGTCAGCAAACCAGGACCGGAGCCCCGTTCCCCTGACCACGACTTCATCCAGCGTCCTCTCTCCCTCCCCGTTCTAGACGGGACCTTTTCCCCCAGCAGCCTTACACTCTAGTGGGAGAGAGGCCACACGTGTAGGAGAGAGACCTGTGATAAGGACTTAGGAGGGGTGAGGCCGCAAAGCCTTCTCCCCAGAGGCCGGATTGGCTGACTGCCTTGGCTGGGGCCCAGAGGAGGAGAGTGGCACAGTCCCCAGTTACACAGTGGAGTGGGAGAGAAGGCCCACCCATAATAAACAGTGAAGGAGGTGGGGCGGTGGGGCGTAATGGGTAGAGCACCAGCCTGACCCGAGTAGGACACCTGCATCTCAGTCGAGAGGCCAAAGTCTAGCCTGGCCTTGGAATTGGAAAAGCTGGACTGCAGAGCCCTGTGCCTGCCGTCGCTGCTGGGAGCCCCAGCCTTCTCACCCGGAAACCTCACAGGGTGATTGCAAGTGACAGATGGAAAGATAAAAAAGGCATGTGCAGCTTGAAACCTTTTAGGCGATGCCACTTTGGTTTGTCCAGATTCTTCTGCCACTGATTGGCAGTGAGGCTTCAGGCCTCTGTGGATTTCCTCATCTCTAAAATCAAGGAGCTTAGCCTGGTCTCCAAGGTCCTTTCCAGTTCAGAAGTTACAGTGCATTTGTGTATAAGCTAACATGGGAACACAGCTAGACCTCCCAAGCGTTTCCAGATATGATAATAAGGTGCCAATCATTCATGCCACTCAGATGAGTCCAAAAGGTGTTAAAAAAGAAGGCGTTTCATCTGCCCCATCTCTGGCCCAGCTGCCTGCTCCCTTCCTTTTCCCCCTTCTCCTCTCCTTCCCTGTCTTCAGGTTGGAAGGATGAGAAACTCATGAGACTGAAGTCTACAAAGTCATAATGGGTTTGAGAAAGGCAGATTCAGTCTTTTTTCATCTCAAGAATTAGGTCAGACCCAAAATGTGGATGAATAAAGGGAGCTGGGAGTTCTCCCAGCAGATGGCCACCATTTTGAGGTCATCACCCCCATGGAGCGGCACTGGCTGAAATGATGACAAGAGCATTGAGTGTTGAGCTGGCATGTTGAGGGTGTTTGAGCTGGGAAGGGCCTTGGAGTCCTAGAATGTAGAATGTTAGGGCTGGGAAGAACTCTATAAATTGCCTAGGCCAACCCCGTTGTTTTATGGAGAGTCATCATAACAACACGTAAGTCCTTCTCTGATGCCTCATCATCCATGACCCTGGGTTTTCAAGAAGCTATGCCAATTGAGTACAAATACTGGTAGGTCCTACTAAGCTAGAAAGGCATGGGCCAGTGACAGATTCTGTATCTTGTCCCAGTGACCTCATATGGGAAAAACCAAGTCCTAGGTGGGCTGTGTGGTGATCAATTTTTCAGCCATAGTAATTTTCCAAGACTAGCTACTAAGTTGCAGAAGACTAGCTACTAAGGCCAGCAAACCACGTCCTACACTAAGTCGCAGTTCCTCCAAGTACGACAGTAATCATGTGCTTACTTTTGGAGAGCTCTATGAAGTTTACAGAGCAGTCTCCTCGTAGCAGTCCTCTGAGCTAGAGAGCATATTTGGAATCGTCCCCATTTTAAAGAGGAAGCTGACCCAGAGGGGAAGTGATGTGGCTGCGTTGACATCTCTTAGAGAGGCAGAGCTGATGCCATCACCTCAGACCAATGAGGTCCGCATTCAGTCTGGGAGCAGATCTGTGTTGGATTCTCAAGGGAAGTGTGGGTGTTTGAGGTCACCAGCAGAGGTTGGCGTTAGGGAGGACAGTTAGCTGGTGGCCCAGGAGTAGGACGGATCCTGGGGCTCGTTGGGGCTGTCCTGTCATGGTCTTGCTCTTGGCCATCCAGGCTACTGTACGAGACCCGTGACTGGACCAGCCTCCTCCCTCTTGCTCTAGGTCCCAGGAAGTGATGGGCACACCCTGGGTTCTAGAAGAAATCTAGAGTGAGGGAGTGGAGGGTCAATTCTTCCCATCTCTAGGCTTCAGGTTTGTTTTCTTGACCTTGAAAATGTCCCACGATGCTGAGGAAGGAGACTTCAGAAGGCAGGGATGGCCCAGCTGGGGTAGGGAGCAAGGATAACAAACATTTTAGGCTCTTTCCTTCTACCTCTTCCCCTTGCCCAGGGTTAATAATGAGAGCTCACATTTATAAAGTGTAAGGTTTGCAAAGCACTGTATCTGTAGTCATTTGACCCTCACAACAACCCTGCCCTGTAGGTGCTATTATGACCCCCATTTTACAGATGAGAAAATTGAGGCTGAGAAGGGGTAAGTGACTTGACCAGGGTCACCTGTCTGGGGCAGGACCTGAACTTGGATCTTCCTGTCTCAAGGCCCAGTGCTTTGCCCACTGTGGGACCCGGCCACCTCAAAGCGAGGGCTTTCTGTGGGTCCCTCGACCAAAGGCTCCACGTAGAGTTGCTGTTGGGGGCCTTGCCAGAGCCCCGTAACTGCTGTCCTGGGAGAAGCACGGATGTATGGACTCCCAGAGTGGGACGGGCCGTCCACGGCCACCAAGTCTGACCTATCCCTGAAGCAAGGGTCATACCTCCATGACATCCCTGACAGGTGTCCCTGCCCACAGGGAGCTTGCTATCTATCTGGGAGGGTGCAGCAGGCCCAGGAGGCTGCAGACCCGGGGCCTTGAAGAGCTCTAAGGAGGGAGAGAAGGCTTTCGACCAGGGAGGATCGGAGAAGATGACCCCTGGGGAAAGCTGGGGCAAAGCCAAGTGCCTGAGGGGAGCTCAGATGCCTTCAGAGCTGCCACCAAGTCGTGGGAGAGCTTTGCTCGTGTGGACGTTCTTCCTCATACCGTCTCCATCTCACTTCCATCCACGTGCCTGCCTAGTATTCCTGGGGGGTAGAGGAAATGGGCCGAGGCCCCTTCCCCCTGACAGCCCCTCAGGTCCCCCCAGGGTCCAGTGGCTCCTCTGCTGGGGAGATTCCCCCCTCCGAGCCTAGAAGGGGGCGCAGGAGGCCATCCCCTTCTTGAGCCACCCCCCCTTCCTTACAGAAAGACAACATAGAGATGGTCAAGGCCCTCATCGTCTTTGGTGCCGAGGTGGACACCCCGAATGACTTTGGAGAGACGCCTGCCATGATTGCGTCGAGGATCCACAAAGGTGGGTGCTCATCACCCAAGGGGAGGAGGAGGAGGGCGTGCCCGGAGCCACTGGTGGCTGTGGCCTGGGGGGGCTCCCTCTGGGGCAAAGCCTTCCTGTTCTCCCGGCCTCCCTGCAGGCTCATTCCTTCCCTCAGCAAGCAGATTAGGTACCTAGTATGTGCCAGGCATTCTGCTAAGTGCAGGGGGCGCAGGAGAGCAAAAACAGTGCCTGCCCTCGGGAGCCTCCAGTCTGAGGGTGGAGGCAGCAGTACAGATGTCCATCTGTCAGCCCAAAAGCACCGACTGAAAGAGTCAATCCAAAATGTATAATGAGAAGCCAAGTAGGGAGGGAGACATGCCTCCCCGCCCCCCAGGGCTCCCCAGAGGCCCGTCCTCTCTCGAGCAGGCTGACCCTTAGGGGAACTGCCCAGGCCCTGGTGGCATGCATATGAGTGCTGAGCCCCCGGGGCCACACAAGCCATGACCAACCCATCACACGTACACTTCTCTCTCCACCCACTTACATTAGATGGTCAAGATTCCAGGTCAGAGAGAGACCACAGGATTCAGGGTGACTATGGGTAGGAACCTGAGAGGGTGTGGGGGGTGTGTGGGGGTGGGTGGGTGGGTGTGACAGAGATTGGTTGCTCCCTTTTTGTGATGTGGCCTCCACTTTCCTTATCTGTAAAATGGGACAAACAGACCTTCCCTCACCTGGGAGCCTTAGGGATGAACTCTTCTGACTCTGGAAGGAGCTATGGGATTCAGGGGCTTTGAGAACAGCAGGAAGAAGGAGCCTGGGGGACCACAGGTCATCTCTCTGCTCTGTCACTCGGCTTGAGGGGAGAGGTGGCATTCCCAGAGGGACTGAGTGGGGAAAGTTGCCCGTTGTGGCCCTGCCCAGGTTCTGCCGCTGGCCCCTTGTGGTCACTCTGGCAGCTCCTGTGGCCAGGCTCTTCAGGCTGGGAGTCTTGAGACGGCCCATGATGCCCATGGAGCTGCTGGGGTCAGGCCCCCTGGTTCTCACTCCCCCCCCCCACCACAAACCCAGGAGGCCAGGGTCTGGGGCGGGGGATGCGGTGTGGAACAAGCCTCTCACTTGCCCATTGTCTCGATGCTGCTCGACCTCCCGGCCCTGAACCGTGAGCAGTGGTCACCAGGAATTCGCTCTTGGCTCTGCTGAAAACCATAGGGGCTGACCACCTCACAGCCCCTGGGGCGCCCCTGGAGGTCTCGCAGCCTTCCACCTCCTCCCAAGACAGACCACCTCCCCCACGGATGCCGATGCGCGAGATAGGTAGGCCTCTCCTCCCTCCATCTGCTCTCTCTCCTTTCCTTCTCCACAATTTCTCCAGGTGGCTCCAGGGTCAGCCAGCCTAAGGCAGAAGGAGCCAGAACGGTCTCTGAGGTGGAGGGAGTGGGGTGCCTCCTGGGGGTGGAGGCCTAGGGCCGAATCCCCATGGGATGTGGTGCCCTGGCCTGACACCCACAGGAAGAGAGCTTCCTGGATGCTCCTGGGGTGGACGGGCAAGGAGGGCGGTGCTGGGGCCCCCGATGTCCTTACCAGAGGAGGCAGGAGGAGCGCCTCCTCTGAGGCCAGACCCGGTGGATGCTGCTTCGGGCTGGAATCCCAACCCAAACCTCCGAGCAGAGCCCGCCTGGGGGCCAGGGGCTGCCTCAGCCGAGCTCTCCCTTGGCTTCTTGTAGGGGCATTCTGACTCTTTGGGCGGCCACTGCCATTTGGCACCTGTAGGGGATCTGGGCCTGCCTTGGGGCCTGGGGCAGCACGGGGTCATGGAGTCACAGGGCTTCTCGGTTCTTTGCCTTCAGGGCAGTCTGAGGCCAGCCCTTCCTTCCCCTGTGCCTCAGTTTCCTCCTCTGTAGAAGCAGGAGGCTGAACTAAGTCATCTCTAGTGTGTTGTAGTTGTAAGTCCTTTGACATCCCTGGTCCCAGGCTCATTTGAGAGATGTCCCAGGTTCTAGCTCAGTCTAAGGAACCCTTGAGGGAGTTAGCCCATTTGACCTGGCCCAGGAGGAGGGCTGACCAGAGCTGACCCTGGCTCCTGAGAGCCCCAATGGAGGCATCAGCTGAGATGGACCCAGCACGTAGTCAGTGACCGCAGGCCTGGACAAGCCACACTTACAAGTCCGTCTCCTCTCGTCCTTCACGCCCTGCCTAGAACTGCCCCCACACACCCTTTTTTGTCTCTTGCTTTCACAGGCAGCCACTAAGCCAGGCCGGATGGCCACCCTGCCCCCAGAGGGGTCTGGGGCCCAGCTGCGGACTGGTAACATCCGGGCATAGAGAGGCTGGGAGGCCAATCATGTCATAGGATTAGCTCTAGCACGCACATCCCACCCTACCCCTCCCTCTCCTTCTTTCTTTCCTTCTTTCTCCTCCCTTCTCTCTGTCTCTTCTCTCTCCTCTCCTCTCCTCTTCTCTTTTCTCTGTCTCTGTCTCTGTCTCTCCCTTCCTCCATCTCTCCTTCCCTCCCTCCTTCTCTCTGTCTCTATCTCTCCCTTCCTCCCTTCCTCCCTCCTTCTCTCTGTCTGTATGTCTGTCTCCCTCTTTCTCTCCTACACACACACACACACACACACACGTATACACACACACACATATGTACACACACACACACACACACATGCCCCTCCCTCTTCCCTTCATTCTGCCAAATTTGAAGTCAGAGCATCAAGTTGAAAATGTTGACTCTACTCCTTTTTGTGACCTTGACCAAGTCTTTCAGCCCCTCTAGGCCTTAATTTCCTCTGTAAAAAGAAAGTGTTGGGGGGCAGCTAGGTGGCGCAGTGGATAGAGCACCGGCCCTGGATTCAGGAGCACCTGAGTTCAAATCTGGCCTCTGACACATAACATTCACTGGCTGTGTGGCCCTGGGCAAGTCACTTAACCCTGATGCCTTACCATAGAAAAAAAAAAGTGTTGGCCTTGATCTAAGTTCCCTTATGGCTCTAAATCCTGTGCTCCTAGCTGTCAGCCAGCCCTGTGCTCCCCCTCACTCTCCTCCCTCTTCCTCCTTCCCTTTCCTTCCTTCTGCCTCTTCTTCCTCTCTCCCCCTTCCTCCTCCCCCTTTCCCCCTCCCTTTCCCCCTCCCTCTTTCCTTTCCCTTCACCTCCCTCCTCCCATCCTTCCTACCCCTTTCCCTCCTCTCTCTTCCCCATCCCTCTTCCCCTTCCCCTTTTTCCTCTCTCCCTCCTCCTCCCACATCTCCAGCCTCACAGGTTCTTCTGAGCTTTATCTCACTTTCTCCTGGTGCTCAGCCCCTGGGCCTGCTCCAGGTCCTCCTGGCCAGGATGGAGGAGCCACCTCCTGTTTTCTCCCAAGGGCACTCACTTCTGGGCGCCAGGGTTCGACTGAGGGAATGGCCTGCTTGCTGGGCTCTGGGGGGCTGGGGACGCTGGAGCTAACCACGCAGAGGGGCTGATGCTGCTGTTTGTGTCCATAGAATGAAGCTGATGGCAATCACCAATGCTCTGGGGCTCTTTACAAAGATACAGCTTGTGGTCTGGGCTTGAACCCCAGCCTTACTGCTCTGGCCAAGTGGGAAATGAGTGGAGCCAGGTGTGGGTCCAAGAGGCAGACGAGGGAAGATTAGGATACCAAGGACAGTAGGACAGATCCCCCTGGACAGTGGTCAGCAGAAGGCAGGGGGCATCCTCTCCGCTGTCCCGCTGCCCCTGTGGGAGGGCCGCATGGCTCCAGAGCAACCTTGGTGGGGCAGGGGCTGTGGTAGCAATGGGAGGATGAGCCAGGGCCCGGCAAGGGGTGTGGGGGGGAAGCTTCTGTGTTACTCCGTCCTCCCTAAATAGTAGGAAGAGTTGGGAGGCCAGCAGCGAGCTCCCCTCTGGGGTCCCAGCAGCAAGCTCCCCCAGGGGGCCCCTGGGCGCAGGAAGCCCCATGTTGGAGAGCAGCCTCTGACACCCACTGGCCAGATCAGGCTGGCCAAGCTGTCACACTGCTGAGGCAAAGGTCTGGGGCTTTCATACTGGAAGTTCTCCACACTGATTAAATCTGAATCCAGACCCCAAAATATGCCCTGTTCAGCAGTGGGGAGACAGAGGAAGAACCACGTGGTCCCTGCACTTAGAGGCTGCTGTAGGGAATGCAGCAGATGAGCTGCAGAGAAGGTGGGATGTGAGTGGAGCAAGACCCAGCCTGGGGCAGTGACAGGTCAGGCAACTCTGGATTTTCAAGTCCCTCCCCGCCTCTGTGCCTTGAGAGGCATTGTGGGCCTAGGACACAGGGAGCTGGCCTTGGAGTCAGAAAGACCTGGCTTTAAACCCTGCTTCAGGCCTTAGTAGCCAGGTGACTTTGGGCACATCATTCATCTCTCTGGTTCTCAGTTTCCTAATCTGTAAAAGGCAAGGTCCTGTCCAGCTCCAAACCTAGAGTCCTGTGACTCAGCCGTTTCTGAGGTCACTGCCAACTCAGAATCCCACAGACCTAGAGGTGGACGGGGGAGGGGCTTTTTCCGAGCCTCTTTGCTTTGCCCCTCCTATCTTCGTAGAGCGCTGTTGGCCTCTGGGATTGGCCAGCTACCGTGTCCTGAGGGCTCGCGGAGCCCACGCCCCCCATTTTACAGATGGGGAGCTTAAGGCCCACGCAGGTAAAGTGGCTCATATAGGCAGGAGGCCCCCAAGAGAGCCATAGGCGACCTGCCCTCCCTGGCGGGCTGACCCCTGACCTCCGACCCTTTGTGCCCTCCCAGAGCTGCAGGACTTTGTCCACCTCTCAAGGTCCCGGAAGCCCAACTTCATCATGAGCTCTCTGAGGGATGAGCGGAGAACGTAAGTGTGGGGCAGAGTGGGTCCTGGAGGGAGGCTGGGCCTGGGGCTCAGGCTCCCTCTCATTTCCGCCTCTCCCCTCAAGCCACGACCACCTGCTGTGTCTGGACGGAGGAGGAGTGAAGGGCCTCATCCTCATTCAGCTGCTCATGGCCATCGAGAAGGTCGCGGGCATCCCCACCAAGGACCTCTTTGACTGGGTGGCCGGGACCAGCACAGGCGGGATCCTGGCCCTCGCCATCCAGCATGGTGAGGGGGGTGCCGGGGAGGGAGCAGGGGCCCCTCCGGGGTGATGCAGTCCGGGCTCAGCTCAGTGGGATTCCGCTGCACCAACGGCCAGCAATCGCAGGAGCGTGTGCAGCGCCGCTACAGCCAGGGGAGCATGCTGGGTGCTGGGCTACAGAGACCCGGGAGAGAGGCTTCGGATGGCATGGGCCTCGCTGACTCACCCACTGGAGCCGATAGAGGGGGAGACTCGGCCGTGTAGGACTTAGTGAATGAGGCCCACAGAGAGGGGGGGAGCTGCCCAGGGTCACGCAGCTAGCCAGTGGTCACGGTGGGTCTGGAGTCCGGGACTTCCTGCCTCTGCACTCGGCTCACCACGCGGCCTCTCACCCCGGGGAGGATGCCTCCCCCGCAGCCCCAGTCAGTTCCCTCATCGCCCCACACCCTGGCGGTCTGCCCGTCTTTCAGAGTCGGGCCTGGCTCGGCCCTGCCTGGGCCCTGCCTGAGCAGCGGCTGCTGACCTTCTCGGCCTCTTGTCCCAGGCAAGTCCATGACCTACATGCGCGGCCTGTACTTCCGCATGAAGGACGAGGTGTTCCGCGGCTCCAGACCATACGAGTCGGCGCCGCTGGAGGAGTTCCTAAAGAGAGAGTTTGGGGAGCACACCAAGATGACGGACATCAAGAGACCCAAGTAAGGCCCACCCCCCGCTGGGTGCCATCGCCTGTGGCCCGCCCGGCCGGGCTGCATGGGCCTGGGAGCTGTATCAAGGCCCCAGAATCTGCCGTGGTGCTCCCCGGCCTCCAGCTCGCATTCACTAACTCCGTCCTCAAACCTTGGCCTCAGAAGAATGAAAGGGGGGAGGGAACAAGCCTTATTGAGCACCTATTGTGTGCCAGCACTGTGCTCCGTGCTTTACACATGTCATCTCTGATCTTCACGGCAGCCTCCAAGGAGGAAACTGACACAGACATGGAGTGCCTTGCCCAGGGGCACACAGCTAGTCAGTAGCGTCTGGGGCTGGATTTGAACTCGGGTCTTTCTGACTCCAGACCCAGATCTTTATCCACTGTACCCCACTAGGAGGTACTAGCTCTCAAGCTGGAAGGGACCTCAGAGGCCATCTTGTCCACCCCCTCCCATTTTACTGGGTGAGGAAACTGAGGCACAGACAGATGAGGTGACTTGATGAGGGTCACACAGTGAGGAATCTGTTATTTTCTTACTGATTGGCCTCAAAGCTGCCTCCCTGTGATGGTTTCTTTTGTTTGTTTGTTTTTGTTTTTTTAATGAGGCAGTTGGGGTTAAGTGACTTGCCCAGAGTCACACAGCTAGTGAGTGTTATGTGTCTGAGGTCAGATTTGAACTCAGGTGCTCCTGACTCCAGGGCCGGTGCTCTATCCACTGCGCCATCTAGCTGCCTCCCCTGTGATGTTAATAGAGGTCTTTTCATGATCGCTCAGTGCCACTTCATCCGTGGAATTCAGCATGGCAGCCTGGTTTCTGTGAGGGCTACAGGCTTGCTAGGGGCTAGGCTTGTGCTGCCTCGGTTCTAGGGAAGTCTGGGGCCCTCCCTGAACGCCTGATCTCAGAAGTCCCCTGGGCTCAATTCAAACCCACTGCCCTGAGCTGGAGCTGAACAGGTTAGGGGACGAGGAAGGAAGCTCAGTGGGATCATGTAGGTCCGCACAGGGCCAGGACGTCCCTCTTGAGACACATTTATTGGGAGAGTCTGCACAAGGCACTGTGCAAAGCCAGCAGAGCCAGAGTGCTTGCCCTCCAGAAGCTTCTGATCTGCTTGGAAAGACAGAAGACCTTGGGCAAGTAATTTCTTCTTTTTGGGCCTAGGTTATCTCATCATGAAAATGAGAGTGTTAAATAAGAATTTATAATTCCCTCAATTCTGATTTTTTTTTAGATTTTTTTTGTGGGGGGTGTGGCAAGGCAGTGGGGTTAAGTGACTTGCCCAGGGTCACACAGCTAGTAGGTGTTATGTGTCTGAGGCCGTATTTGAACTCAGGTCCTTCTGAATCCAGGGCTGGTGCTCTATCCACTGCACCTAGCTGCCACCTCCTCAATTCTGACATCCCCTGTTCTAAGGCCCCTCCCAGCTCTGACATCCCCTGTTCTAAGGTCCCTCCCAGCTCAGACATCCCCTGTTCTGAATCCCCTCCTAGCTCTGATATCCCCTGTTCTAAGGCCTCTCCCAGCTCTGACATCCCCTGTTCTCAGGCTCTTCCCAGCTCAGATATCCCCTGTCCTGAATCCCCTCCTAGCTCTGACATCCTCTGTTCTAAGGTCCCTCCCAGCTCTGACATCCCCTGTTCTCAGGCCCCTCCCAGCTCTGACGCTCTCTCAAACTTGCCACAGTACCATATAACATAGTTAGTTCCCTGCTGCCTCGGGATGTCCAGCTGGGCTGAGGCCGCAGGGGAATGGAGGGAGGGTCTTCCCAGGGTGTATGGCGGGTGCTTGCACTGACGGAGCTGTGTGGCTCACTGCCCCCAGGGTGATGCTGACCGGGACCCTGTCTGACCGCCAGCCTGCTGAGCTCCACCTGTTCCGCAATTATGATGCCCCTGAGACCAGAAATGAGCCTCGTTTTGCACAGAACCCTAACTTACTGCCCCTCACCCAGCCTCAAGGTAACTGAAGGTTCCCCAGCCCAGTTGGGATGAGGGGGGTAGTTGAGGGGCACCGGGCAGTGCCAGCCCGGCTCAGGCGACCCCCACCATGACCTCCTCACCTTCCCTTTTGCTCAGGAAAGGCAGCCGAGAGGGCAGGTTGCTTCAGGCTCTCCTGCCCTGTCCTGGAGCCCCAGACCCCTCATCCGTGGAAGGGTCACCCTCCGGCTCACAGTGCATGGTCTCCTCCCTCTCCCCCAGACACGCACGCACTCACACAGTCCTAAGCCCTGGGATCTGGGTGCAGGCCTCACCTTGGAGCCGCCCCTCTGCCTCCCTCAGACCAGCTGGTGTGGAGGGCGGCCCGAAGCAGTGGGGCGGCCCCCACCTACTTCCGGCCCATCGGGCGCTTCCTCGATGGAGGACTGCTGGCCAACAACCCAACGCTGGACGCCATGACTGAGATCCACGAGTACAACCAGGACATGATCCGCAAGGTGAGTCCCGGCCGGCCTGGCCAGGACCCCGCTGCCCTGTGCCAGAACGGGTCAGCTCTGGGCAGCCCCAACTGGCGGGGGACCGGGCCTTGGCCATCGGAGGAGGCTTGTCCTGGAGAGGAGGGTGGGCCTCCGGGAAGATGTGAGCGCCAACAGGAAGGCAGCTAAGGGAAGGGCAGATAGCCTCAGTGGGCAGTGCCAGGGCCCACGGGGAAGGTTTCTGGGAGGTGAATCACCCAGAAGGGGCTGGAGCTGCCTGGGGAGGGAGTGAGCTCCCCACCGCAGTCTGCATGGAGGCTCGGGGGGGATCATGCCCTGGCCTTGGAGTCGTCACCTTGGATGCTTCCCAGCTGTGTGACCCTGGGCTAGGTGTTTAACCATTCTGGGCCTTGGTCTGCTCATCAGTGAAATGGCAGTGGTCTCGGAGCTCTCCTGAGGGAGAGGTGAGGTCACCTACGTGAGGCACTGGTGAGCTCTCATCATCAGGGGCTCTCTGTTCAGGGCCCTCCCACTCTGCAGGCACTGCGGTTCTGCCACGTGGTGAAGGGAGCCTCTCTTGGCCAGGCCTGGGCACAGCCTCTCCTGCCAGCCGTCGTCTGTCCTTATTGGGCTCAGACGTGGGGGGTGTAGGAGGGGAGGCCAAAGATTGGCCTCGGGAGGTGCCCGGCCAGCACCCACGCCACAGACAAGGCTCCCACGGCGTGGTTCCTGTGCCACAGGAGCCAGAGAAGGAGGGGCTGCGGGAAGCTGGGTTCATGCAGGGTCATGGGATGGGGGAAGGGAATCAATCAATCACCATTTCTGAAGCACCTTCCATGCACCCAGGGATCCAGGCAGGGAGAGAAGGCCATGGGGGGCTGTGGAGCCCATTAGCGGGATCAAGACCTGCTGGGCCTCAGTTTCCTCCTCCGTAAGAGCCCCAGCTGCCTCCTCTCAGCTCCAAGTCCTGTGCTCTTCTGCGGATGAGGGAGGGTCTTCATACGAGGGGCCGACAGAGTGGGCCTTAGTTAGAAATGGGCTGGGCTGGGTAGGGCTGTGAGCACGGGGGATTGTGGGGGAGGGGGGTCTTTGCGGGAGAGGCTTGAAGGACTGCCAGAGAGCCAGGCAGGATGCTTCTGCTCCGTCTGAAGGGTGAGTAGGGGGTGAGTGGATGGCCTGCCGAGGAACTGAGGCCCCAAAGTGAGAGAGGGGAGTGGGGTGAGCCAGAGGGCGGTGGGCCTCTGAGCCAGCGGCAGCCCCACATCCTTGTAGATGCTGCTCCGCCGGGCTGAGAACTCCCAGCTGCGTCTCTGTGGGCCCCCCCATTTCACTGACGTGAGCCTCGGTTTCGTCTTCTGTAAAGCATGGCCAGTAATAACAGTGGGAACGTCAAGGTTTACAAAGCCCTTCCTGGGAGCAGCCACATCCCTGCTGCTTTCCAGGAGAGGAGGCCCAGGCTGGGCCTGTAGCTCCTAAGTGCCTGTTTCCCAGGCCAGCCAGGGGCCTTCACTTCCCCAGCACTTGGCTGTGGGGCCAAGTTGTTACAAACCCTACCTGTCCTGGGCCTGGTGCGAGTTTTCCCTACACACATTGGCTCTCTGCCAGGCCTCCTTCCCTGAGCTCTGGGCCATCTCAGAAGCCACCCAGTGAGTCGAGGGCCCCCTGGCCAACCCTGTCCCCGTCCCCATCTCCCCAGGGCCAAAGTCACAAGGTAAAGAAGCTCTCCTTGGTCGTCTCCTTGGGGACCGGAAAGTCCCCGCAGGTGCCGGTGAGCTGCGTGGATGTGTTCCGCCCCAGCAACCCCTGGGAACTGGCCCGCACTGTCTTTGGAGCCAGGGAGCTGGGCAAAATGGTGGTTGACTGTGTGAGTACCCCCCACGCCAAAGGCTTTGCCGGGGAATGCATGCCAGGGCGTGGCACGTCTGGGGTGGGGGGAGAGGGATACTCCTGGCCCTTCCTCTTGTTAAAAATGCTTTAACTGATGCTTTTTGGCTTTTCCTGCCACCATTACTGCCCAGTAACATCGCACCCACCCTTTTAACAGAGAAGATCAGTTAGACCCAGGAAACTGAAGCAGGGATTGCATCTGCACCTCTCAGCACTGGGGTAGTGGGGGAGGGGGTGCCTGGCGCCATCTGATCCCGTGCGCCCGAGAGCAGAGGTCTCCATTGTCAGTCGGTAGGACTTGGGGTGCTCTGGAAGGCGCCTGAGTGCCAGGGTGCTCACCAGGCCCTTTGCTGCAGTGCACAGATCCTGACGGGCGGGCAGTGGACCGGGCCCGAGCGTGGTGCGAGATGGTCGGCATCCACTACTTCAGGTACCGAGGGGCCCCTCGGCCCTGAGCGCCTTCTTCCTGCCTGCCCCCTTCTGGCTCATCTGACCCCTTCGCCCTGTCAGGCCCCATCCTGCCCCGCCCAGAGGAGCCCCTTAATGGACGTTGGTTCACTGAAGTGATGCCCGCCCATCATGGGCACCAGAGCCTCAGTCCTCGCCCCTCTGCCCCTCCCCCCGCCCGCCAGTGACCGCTCTCCCCTCCTCTGGCAGACTGAACCCCCAGCTGGGGGCAGACATCATGCTGGACGAGGTCAGCGACGCGGTCCTGGTGAACGCCCTCTGGGAGACCGAGGTGTACATCTACGAGCAGCGCGATCAGTTACAGAAGCTGGTCCAGCAGCTGCTGACCCCCTGAGGCTGGCAGGGGGGGGAGGAGGGGGCCCCGCCCCTGCCCCAGCCCCGCCCCGGACACCTGGCGAGGAATGATGCTGGGATTTGGACCGCGAGAGCCCGCCTGCCAGGAGGCAGAAGGGAGGAGCTCAGAGGGTGTGGCCGGCTGGAGGGGCGTCCTCTCCCACCCCTCTGAGGGGTTTGGGGTGTTCCTGGCCTGAGGCCTCGACGCCTCCAGCGGGAGGCCCTGCTTCTTGCTGTTACCGCCTTAAAGTGTTGGCCTGAGCCACCAACCTCCTTCTGCCTTATCCCTCCTCCACGTCCTCCGGCAGGCGACAGACCCCAGAGGACCGAGCTAGTGCCCCTCCCCCCTCCAGAGCCACCCTTTGCCAAGCTGGGCCACGGGGGTGGGGATTTCCTGGCAAGAAAACTGGACAGGAATCTGCTGGATTTCTTATTAGGACCTTGGATGGAGGGCCTGGGGAGCTGGGGGAGGCCCTCAGGCCTGGAAGCAGCCTGTTCTCTGCCCCACCTCCGGGGGCCCAGCTGTCATGCCAGGGAGCCAGTGGCTCTGTGGGACAAGACCCTTGCGCCTGCTCCCAGGCTGCAGATTGCCATCAGTCCCAGACTCCACTTCACCTCCCCAAGGGAGAATCCACCGGGCCCCGAGAAGGAAGTTCAGAGCCAACTTTGCCCCCAGTCTCCTGCCCCAGCCCAGGAAACTCTCAAAGTCCATCCTCTGTTGGGTCGCCTACTTTCTTCTCCCCTCCCCCCTCCTCCACTGGCTTGGTTCTTAAACAAGGAAATGTTCTAAGCTGCTCCTTGGGGCCTGGCCCTCGGTACCCCCCCCAGATGATGTGGGCAAGAAGAGGGGTGCTGGGTGGCCCCCCACCTCCACCCCTCCTCAAACTGAAATAAATGGCTTGAGACCCACGCTGCTTGTGTTGGTGTGAGCTCTGGCCTGTGGCTCTGCGGGTGGAAGGAGAGGTTTGAATCTTGGGATCGGATCGTTTAGAGCTGGGAGGGAGGGACCTTGGGCCCAGAGCAGCCCACGGTACAAAAGTCAGTATTTCTCGTGGTTGAACCAAAGAAGCATCGCCTTATTTCCCCTCTGCGCCCCGCTCCTAACGCTGAGGACACATTGAATGAAGGCAATGTGGAATGGCAGGATGGGTCCATTGGAGTGAGGGTGGTCTGCCAGAAAAGGAGACAACCAGCTACATGTAGGTTTCCTCATCACTAAAATGGAAGGGATAAACATGAGGAGCACTGAGGGGGCTCCCAGCCCTCTGCTCCTTCCCCAGACCGAGGTGAAGAGGACCCCAACCACACTCAAGGAAACAGGGAGCCTTCTTTCTGTCTCGGGAGCTGGGGTAGATGTGCTGGTCCTAGCCAAGGTGGGGTGGAACTTGCAAAAGCAACATTGTTTATAAGGACATGGGAGTGAGGGCCAGAAAATGGAGCACCAAGTGTGTCGGGTAAGTCCTGAGCGCAGCTTCATTGGTGCCTCTGGAAGGTATGCCGGGCAGGAGGCAAGGGGCTGGGGTTGAAGTCCTCATCCTGGCTGCCGGACGACATCCTGTTTCTGGGGTCATCGAGGGTTTAGAGCTGGAAGGAGCCTTTGACATGGAGGCAGCTCAGGCCCAGAGAGGAGCGGTCACTGTCCCAAGGCCACACAGGCAGAGAGGATGTTGGAAGGCCTCTGGCTCCAAGTGGAGACCAAAGGGCGCATGGGGGCAGAGGAAGAAGGTGCTCTCCCACGAGGCCGGCTCAGATATTGGCAGTTGGGGAGGGAATTGGGGGGGGGGGTTCTCCCAGCCTGGGCATGGAGCCAAAGGGAACCCCACCAGGTGGCCTCTGGGGCTCCCTCTGCTGCTGCAAACTTGCCCCCCTCGCCAGCAATGGCAGCCTGGAGGGGAGCGGGGAGATGATAGGGGAGTGCGGCTTGCTGAGCCCTCCCAGAGGGTTGAATAATTCAAAGAGAAGGTCACATGAGCCCCCCTCACTGTCCCAGGCTTCCTTCCCACCCACGCCCCACTGGTGTCTGGTTACAGCCCCAGATCAGATTCTGACATCCCGACTGGTGAATAATTAACCTTCCTTCAGTCCTCCATCCCCACCCCAGCACCAGCCCTTTGGAGGGCTCAGGTGCAGTGAGGACGCTGCTGGGCCCACAGCCCCTTGTGTCCAGTCGTGGGATCTCTTGGGAGAGGCCTCAGCCACCCACCTTCCCTGGTCTTCTTAAAGGGTCTTCCCCTCCCTCTTCATGGCCCTCGAGATGGAGCAATTCTATCGATCTACAGTGGCTATCTACAAGGTGAGCATGGTCAGCTCAGTCCCCCAAAGCATGGGAGGCAGATGTCCAGCGAGCTGGCCGAGGCCTTCACCAGGCCCAGGGAGGGTGCTGGAGTCCGCATCTTGGACTTTGAGCACCTCCCATTGAAAGTCAAGGCTACCCCAGAGCCCCCTCTCTGAGGCATACCAACACAGGGCAAGTGGAGGTTCAGTATGTGGGCTGAGTAGGGCTCTCAGAGGGTGAGGGATGGGTCGGGTCTGGAAGAGGAGAGAGAAGGAGGGGAGCAAGCCTTAGAAGACCAGAGCCTAGAGAGAGTTCTGGGGCTGGGGTGGGGGCATAGAGCCCCTGCCCAGCATCAGAAAGGGCAGCCCCTTGGAGCCCCCAAATCCCAGAGCCAAAGGACGTCTCTGCTCCTGGCAGGGCAGGCGCAAAGTGACCTCAGGGGGCCTGGACAGCAGTCTGTCAGCATCTCTGAGGGAGGAGGAACGCAGGTCGCTGCTGGCAGATCTCATTCCTCATAGGGAGGTGCAATCTATGATTATCGCCCATTCTCCAGGGCCAGGGCCAAAGAGAGCAAAGCAAATCCCTCTCACACAGAACCCCCTTCAAAACCTGGAAAACAGATCACCTCCCACTAAGGCTTCTCTTATGGCATGGTTTGAAGCCCTAATACCTTACTGGAGAGCCTCCTGTGGGTGAGCCCCAGCTTATGATGGGGACTGGCCTTCCAGTGTGGAGGGAGGGGAGAATTGCTGCCTCTGACCCCCTGGCTTGGGGTCTTCCAGTGCCGACCTTGAGATCAGGGGCCATATCATTTTACTCCTTGTCCTGGGAGCCCAGCATAGTGCTAGGTATGTAGTAGGTGCTTAATAAATGCCTACTCAGTTGTCTTTGATGTCCCCATCCCACAAAGTGAGACCCTCAGGGCTCTCCAGGACTCTGCCAAACAGGGCCGTCAGTGGGCTCCTGCCAGGCTAGCATGGTGACCATTGTCAAGTCATTTAATGCCTATGAGCCTCAGTTTCTCATCAGTAAAATGGGGTTAATGAATAATCCCTACCTCATAGGCCTACTGGGAGAAAACACAAGAGAATTGGGGCTTTCTCTTATGAAGATAGTAGTCCATCTCCACCCTGGGGGGGGTCTAAGTCATTTTCACCTTTGTTGGGAGAGAAGCAGGGTGACTTCCTCAGGCAGGGTCCTGAGAAGCAGCTCCCACCAGTGTTTGAAGCACCCCTGGGCAGCCCCAGGCAGCCTCCTGGGCAGGTGAGGCATGGTGTCCTGTTGCCCCACAGAGCTGTATTTAGCAAGGCTGATTGTCAGCAATGGTGGGCTTGAGGAGGGGTGGTCTAAAGGAAGGCCACCCACTCTGCTCTCAGTCGACACAGGAGAGAGGGAGGCAGGATTCCATGTCACCCCAAAGCACAGAAAAGGGGGAGGCAGCCTTTGGGGAGGAAACTTGCTCATTAGACTCTCCCAGAATGGAATAGCTGCCCAGTGAGGTAGTGAGCTCCCTGTTACAGGGAATATCCAAGCAGAGGTGGGCTGACTGCCATGAGGGGATGCTGCAGAGTGGTGAGAGTTGGGCTTGGCGACCTCTCAGGTCCCCATCCCAGACTTTCTGATTCTGTGGAGCTGGGGGAGCCTGGAATCCCTAGCCCCTACTCACAGACTGGATATGGGCCCCCTCTCAGGCAGCCAACACCACCTGGAATCTGGAGGCATCACAGGGGCTCCAGACCTGGAGGAGAGGGAGGCGGAGGGACCCTGTTCTTCCTATTAACTTCTCATGTCCCATCCCTTCTCTGATTCCCTGGCCTGGGACCCCAGAGCATCATGGAGCAGTTTAACCCTGCCCTGGAGAATCTCGTGTACCTGGGTAACAACTACCTTCGTGCCTTCCACGGTGAGTGAGGATGCTTACGGCCCTTCCCAGGCCCCTCCCCCCACCTGCTCGACCAAACTCCTCCATCCTGATGGAGGGGAGAGAATAAAAGAGTCACCCTCGGGAGACTTGGCTTGAATCTCCCCTCTGACACTTTCTGGCTGTCACCTTGGGTAGGTCTGAGCCTCAGTTATCCCCACCTGTAAAATGGAGGCAGTGGTGATACTAACACCTCTCTCCAGGTTATTGGAAGGCTCAGATGAGACAGCAGTTGTAAAGTGCTTTGCAGACCTTAAAGTACTCCATAAATGCTGCTGCTATCATTAGTATTATCATTATTGTTACTATTATCATTATTACTAATACTATAATTACTATTATTATCCTCATTATTACTATTATTATTTATTATTACTACTGCTGTTATTGTTACCAGTTGCCCACCGTGGGAGGCACTCTCATAACCATGTTCCTGGCTCTTTGGGAACTAACAGATTAAAGCGATGATTAGTCTGCACCCCAACCCTCCCGTGTCTCCCTCCCAGATGCCTCCTCCCCACATTCACTTCCCCCCACCTCTACATGTATTCCCCACCACATCACACAGACTTATGGGAGAGAGGCCAGAGGGGAGGAAGAGAAGGATGGACGCTGTTGTTTGGGGCGTGGGCTTTGGTCTGGCGGGCTTGGGGAGGGTCTAGATTTGAGTCCAGATCTCATTCATTCAGCATTTATCAGACACATTCTGTGTTCAGAGCCTGGGTCTGGGCACTGGGGAGATGCCAGGATTAGCTAAGGCACACAGCCCCTGCCTTCCTTAGCTTATAGTCTAATGGGGGAGTGAACTGCCCGCCACATTTCCCCGTAAGGGAATTCCGGAGGGTGCCTCCAGACAGGTGTGAGGTCAGAGGGGGATGGTCACTAGGGAGGCATGGGGGACTTTTGGTGGGGGAGGGTGAGCCTGGGTTGGGCTTAAGGAGAGACAGCTGAAGAAAGGACTTGGGAGCAGGGCCCGGGGCTGGGTCACAGGCTGAGCCACTGGCGTCCTTTCCCTCCCTGGGCAGCGCTGTCCGAAGCGGCCGAAGTCTACTTCAGGGCCATCCAGAAGATCGGGGAGCAAGCCTTGCAGAGCTCAACATCGCAGCTATTGGGTAGGAGACCCTGCTCCTGCCCCGCCTCCCCCGCGCCAGGCCTGAGGGGCCAGCTGTTCTCCCACCACCATCCAAATAAGAAGGAGGGTCAGATTAGCCCCTGCAGACGCAGTGCTTTTGTAAGCGCTCCCCAAAAGCCCCATGGTCAAAGGATTATTATTCCCATTTTACAGATGAGAAAACTAAGGCTGTGAGGGGAAATGACTTGTCCATAGTCACACGGTGAACACTGAAGGCAGGATTGGAACGCAGAGCCTCCCGGAGACCAATCTATTAGGGCAAGCCTAGAGCCAGGAAATCTAACTCTGGAGTTAAAAAGCCCCTGATACTGCCTATGTGACCCTAGCCAGGTCACAATCTCTCTGGGCCTCAGTTTCCTCAGCTGAAAAATTGAGGGAGTTGGGCTAGACAGTTTGCAAGGTCTCTTCCAATTTTAGATCTATGATTTTATGATCCTTACTGACTTAGTGACCCTAGGCAAGTCATTGCTTCTTATGGGGACCTCAGTTTCCCCATCTGTTAAAAAAAAAAAAAAGAAGTGGTGATCCTTGCATTCCTTATCTCACAGGGATTTGGGGGGAAGGTACATTGCAAACTTGAAGTTGACCTAGAGTCAAGAGCTGGTGTTAGGGGCCCCTGTGCCCATTGACTGGGCTGGGCAGGTGCAGGATGGGAGGGGGGAGGGGCAGGATAAGGATACAGAAGGCTAATACTTGTGCTTATCCGGTAAGATCTGGAGTCAGGGGCGCTCCAGCCCTGTGAGCTATCTCTGCAAACGTGGACTTTCCCCCAGGTGATTACCTATCATGGGGCCCTGGTGCACTGGGGTGGGGCGGGCCAGCGCACCTGCCCGTCGCAGTCTCACTGTTTCCTCCCCTGTCTTGCAGGTGAGATCCTCGTACAGATGTCAGACACCCAGCGGCACCTGAACAGTGACCTGGAAGTTGTCGTGAGTCTCCAGGCCGACCCGTGGGGGGCAGGCGGGGTGCCCAAGGTGGCCCTAGGAAGGAGTGTGCCCTAATGAATACCCCCAGCCCTTTGGGTAAAAGAGAGGGCAGGCCCTTTTCAGGAAGTGTTGTGGGATTCAAGACACCGGCTGGTAAGGAGGGACAGGAGTGGATGCCAGAATGTGGCTACTGTCCGCTAAACCTGCCACGCCTCTCTCCGTGGACCTCTGGGCCGTTTCTGCGTGGGTTCTTCTGGGATCACCAAGCACCCTGGCTTCCAGTGCTGCTCCTGGCATTTACTGCCTGTGTGACCTTGGCCACGTCACTGCCTCCTCAGTTTCCCCATCAGTGAGATGCCAGGATTGCACCAGGTGGCCTTGAGCTCCCTTCCAGATCTGAGGCCACAAAGCCTTGTCCCAAGTACCTTCTGGTCTTACTATTCTGCCCTCAGGCCCAGCCCTAGAAATACTTGAAGAAGGCAAGGTTCTCTTCCCCAGAAGAAACTTCTCATTTTTTCCAACCAGTCAGTCCTTACATGGCCTGAAATCCCATCTCCATCCCAGGCACCTTCCAATGGCCATCTTCCACCTGGTCCATGTCTTTCCCGATCCTGCTCCCGATGCTGTCGGAACAGGGCTAGGCTCTCACCTCCCTGGTCCTGGCTGCTCCTCCTCTAAGACCACCATATAAGAATAACAAGAAGCCACACTTATGTAGCTCCTACTGTATACCATGCACTGCGCTAAGTGCCGTACATCTCATTTGATCCTCACGACAACCCTGGGAGGAATTATCCCCATTTTACAACTGAGGAAATTGAGGCAGACAGAGAAGGGAAGTGCCTTGTCCAGGGTCACACAGCTAGTACGTGTCTGAGGCTGGATTTGAATTCAAGTCTTCCTGACTCCAGGCCTAGTACTTTATCCATTGTACCACCTAGCTCACCACGAATTAAGACTAGGATGGAGTCTTGTAACTGTGCTTGAGCTGTAGGCCCCACCCCGCCTGAGGATGTGATGCTCTAACTTCTCTGACCTTTCCTGGCCCTCTCCTGCCACAGCTGTAAGGGGGCCATCCTTCTGTGCCTCTCTCATACTGCCACCCGCTATTATCAAACTCAGCCCGGGCACCTCCTTCCGTGTCCTCAGCTCACTTGGAGAAAGAGCTCAGGGTTCGTTTGCTTGTTTCAGAAGTACTTTCCTAGCCCTCGAGGAAGGCATCATGGGGCCCTGGCAGAACCCTGAGCTGTGTGGTGAGAGGGCCTGGGAACCTTGGGCCACACGGGCCAGAGCGGCTGGCGTGAGCTTCCTACGCTTACCCTGTCTCTGTCTCACTTCTCTCTCCCTAGTCTCCATGAATGGCTGGCTGCCATCTTGTTTCAGGAATCAACTCACTCTGAGACCTTTGCAGCTCCATCAACCACGGAGCTATCAGGTCCCTCTTTCGTGGCAGCCTCCCTCCAACTCCCAGAGCCAGCCCTTCCAACTGAAACGGGCCTAGCATGAGGCAGTGGGATGGCAGGGCAGTGGGATGGGGGCTGGACTTGGAATCAGAAGACCTGTGCTAGATTTCCTTGGGTTCCAAAACCCAGCTTCATTTATGTCCACACACCGGAGGAAGTGTGCCTAGACAATAGTTCTAAGGAAAAAGAAGATCTGAGGGTTTTAGTGGACTGCAAGTTCAACATACTAGGAAAAAAATTTTAGCGTCTGGCTGCTGTGGGGGCTGGACGCGTCCAGGGATGAGGGAGGTGACAGTCCCCTTGTCTCCTTCCCTGGTCAGACCATACCTGGAGGGCTTGTGTTCTGTTCTAGGCACTATTTTTTGAAAAGGACATTGATACACCCAAGAGTGCCCAGAGGAGCTCATGTAGCATGGCGAAGGGCCTTGAAGGCCACATCAGAGGAGGATCAGTCAGGGAAGAGCGACCATTTAAATGGCGATTTAATATTTCCAAAGCATTTTCCAAAAGTCAAAATAGGTTCAGGACTTAGATATAAAGTCTGATACCATAAGTAAACTGGGAGACCAAAGCATTTTCCACATGTTGTCTCGTATAATCCCCACAACAACCCTCTGAAATCGAACTTAGGAACCTCCCCCTTTTATGGATGGGCCTCTACAAGGTGGCTCTGCCACTTTGCTGCCCGAGGATCTGAACCACGGGTTAGGCTAGACAGGTGCCCCAACGCATCCTGGGATCCTGCTTCCCGCACAAATCCTCCATTAGTTTGTTACCAGAGGCTTCACCCAAAGTCACCTGAGGCCTCTCCCTTTGCCAGCACCTGCTCCCAGCTGGGCCTCCCTTGGACCCGGAGCCACGAGCCTGGCCAGGAGCCGTCTGTTCAGGGTTTTGGTCTGTCTTTAATCCGTGCCCTCGCTTTGGCTAATCAGGAAATCTGCTGCTGGCAGCCTGGTGGGACCCCAGCCCACAGCTCCAGTGATCCCTAAAGAACAGGAGCTGAACCTCGGCCCAAGGGAAGAATCTCTCTGGAGCTCACCAAGGCATCCTATCTTCCCAATCTGTTCCTTCATGGCTCATCTCCCATCAGGGGAACGGTTTTTTTTCTGGCTTCTGATCCCATCCCCAGACGAAAGTGCAGTTAGGCTGTGTGGGGTGGCGAGAGGGGAAGGGGGTGAGGGGGGGGATCTGGCCCAACCCCTCCCCCAAAGGGGCCTTGCCACACTGGCCCTCACGACCCTGCAGAGAGTGGACGACTCTATCCCACCCCTCCCCCACCCCAGGGGTGAGGTGGGATATTCCCTCCCCCACGTGTACAATAATAACAGCAGCACACATTGCGGGGCACACTTTACATTGTTATGAATTAGTATCTCATCTGATCCTCACAAGAAACCTGGGAGGGGAGGTGCTATTATTATTCCCATTTTACAGATAATAGCAATAATAGCAGCTAGTATTTATATGTACATGATTCACTATTAATTTACTAATTACTAATTAACTAAATTTACTAATCAACTAAATTCACTAATTTATTAATTTATGTTATGGTATTTGCTACTAGTATTTCCTATGTACACTAAATACTTTATAATTATCATCTCATTTGATACAACAGCTCTGGGAGAGAGGTGCTATTATCATCTCATTTTACAGATAATAATAATAATAATATTTATATGTATGCTATTTACTATTAACTTACTAACTCATTACTAATTACTTTTTTACTAACTTATTGATTAATTTATGTGTATGCTATTTACTATTAATATTTACTCCCTCCACAAAGGCAGGTTGCAATCCATCCATAACTTACTAGAAAAAAACTTAGAGAGCTGCCTGAGGCTAACCTGTTTTGTCCAAGGTCAGACAGCTAGTGTCAGAGGTGAGATCTGCAGATAGATTTTCCTGACTGCAGGCTCAGCACTTTATCCACTAGGTCGTACTGCCTCTCATTCTCTTTTCTCAGTGCCAAAATGCCCAGCATTCTTTGGCATCGTCTTTCTCATAGAATTTCCCACAGTCGTGATCAACCCTCCTTGGCATCTGTTTCAACTGAATCCTCCATTGCAGGAAGTACCAGGGGGACCCTGGCCACTCCCTGACCCTGAAATGCTTAGCATTGTTTACCTACCCAGTATCTTCATCAACACCTCGAGACAAAGGAGGCTTTGATTCCCATTTGGAGTTGTGCCTATGGAGTAAAGTCCTAAGGAACCATTAAAGGATTCAAGGGCACGGCCAGCTTTATGGCTCTTGTGCTAACAGTTAGGGCTAGGACTTTGGGGACAGTTACTTTCTCCTCTAGCCCTCAGTGTCTTCACCTGCAAAATGAAGCTTTTATGATTTTATTTTTGAAGTTCCTCCAAATTTGAATGTTCTCTTGTTCTCACATTCCCTGTTCTAAGGCTCCTCCCAGCTTCTGATAGTCTGTTCTAAGATCTCTTCTAGCTTGGGCATTCCCTGTTCTAGGCTCCTCCTAGTTCTGACATTTCCTATTCTAAGGCTGCTCCCAGCTCTGACAGTCTCAGTTCTAAAGTCCCTTCCAGCTTGGATATTCCATATTCTAAGTTCCCTCCCAGCTCTGACATTCTCTGTTCTAAGATCCCTTCCAGCTTGGACATCCCCTGTTCTAGGCTCCTCCTAGCTCTGACATCCCCTATTCTAAGGCTCCTCCCAGCTCTGACAGTCTCTGTTGTAGGTCTCTTCCAGCTTGGATATTCCATATTCTAACCCCGCCCCTCCCAGCTCTGACAGTCTCTGTTCTAAGGTCCCTTCCAGCCCTAACATTCCCTGTTCTAGGCTCCTCCTAGCTCTGACATTCCCTATTCTAAGGCTCCTCCCAGTTCTGATAGTTTCTGTTCTAAGGTCTCTTCCAGCTTGGACATTCTCTGTTCTAAGGCTCCTCCCAGCTCTGACAATCTCTCTTCTAAGCTTCCTTTCAGCTCTGCCATTCCCTGTTCTAAGATCCCTCGCAGCTCTGACATTCCATGTTCTAAGGTTCTCCCTACTCCGTCACGGTGCATGGCAGTGCAGACCCAGGCATGTGCATGGGAGAAAAGAAGGGGCGTCTCCTGATCGCTTGACTTCCTTGCAGGTGCAGACTTTCCATGGAGACCTTCTACAGCACATGGAGAAGAACGCCAAGCTGGACATGCAGTTTATCAAAGTGAGCGCAGCCCCAGCTCCCTGAGCGCCACACCCACCTCTGGTGCTGCGCCCGCAGCTTTCCCTGTGGCCCCGCCCTCTTCCAGCTTCCCCAGCCCTGAGGGGCTTCCATTCTAAAATGGAGGGATTTTCCAGTAAAATCCTTCCCCTAGATTCCTCAAAGGCACGGAAACCAACTGACCTCTGTCCCTACTGCCATGGCCTCCCGCTAGGACTGGAGACAATAAGAATTAGAAAGGCAGCACATTATAGCGAAAGACTTGGACCTTGGAGCTGGAATCAGGAGAAACCTGGGTTCACATCCTGCCTCTGACGCATACTGACTGTGTGACCTTGGACAAGTCCTTTTTCCTCCCTGAGCCTCAGTTTCCTCATTCGTAATAATAATGTCTGGAGAACCCCGCTTACAGGGTTGTTGTGATTATCAAACAAGATCATGCCTGTGGTGTCTTTTGTAAGCCTTAAAGCTATACAAACCTCGTTTGGTGGCCTACTTTGCTTTCGTTCCTGTACATTGTATCCTTTGGGCCTCAGTTTCCTCTCTGGAAGATGAGGCCGTGGGACTAGATGATGTCTAAGGTCTCTTCCAGCCTAAGGCAGGCAAGGCAAGGATGACTATTCCCATTTTAGAGATGAGTATGCTGAGGACCAGAAGGAGACAGTCACTTCCCAAAGGGGATGCACTTAATGAGTAGTTTCACCAGCGCTGCTGACCTCTGCTGCCTTGTTTCCTCCCCCCACCCTGCTCCAACGTCTCCCGCTGTCTAGGACAGCCGCCAGCACTACGAGATAGAATACCGACACCGCGCTGCCAACCTGGAGAAATGCATGTCGGAGCTGTGGAGGATGGAGAGGAAGAGGGACAAGAGTGCGCGGGAGATGAAGGTGAGCCAGGCGGGCAGAGGGGGCAGGGAGCCCAGCCTCCACCCCCCCATCAAAGTCAATCATGCCCACAGCCCTAGCTCACTCTGCTGCGGACCACAAGGCACGGCAGCAGGAAGACCTGAGTTCAAATCCTACTTCAAATGTTTACTAGCTGCGGGACCCTGGTCAAGTCCCCTTACCCTCTCTATGCTTCCATTTCCTCACCTGTAAAATGAGGGAGCTTAGATTCAATGGCCTTTAAGGTCCATTCCAGCTCTAAATCTTTGATCTTTCCCAGGGGACCAGGTCCCTACTTAGTCACTTGTGTGACTCTGCTAAAAGTTCATCTACAAAAACCCAAGGTCCTGCATAGGCTCTAGAGCCAGGAGGGATCCGCTAGGGAGGCAGACATTCAGTGGGTGCTTTCCATGTGCTGGGCTCGGGGTCTGGGAGGCATTCAAAGGCTCAGTGCTAGCTGGAGAGCTACCAGAAAAAATCCTCTTTATAAGGAGACCTCTGTCAGGGAAGACTTCAAGATGGCGATGGTATTTAATAATAATCCATATTAATAATAATAGTGTGGTTTGTAAAGCCTTTTGTATATGTTATCTTGCAATAACCCTGGGAGGCGGATCCTATTATTGTCTCCATTTTACAGATGAGGAAACTGAGGCTGACTTGATCAGGGTCACCTAGCTAGTAAATGTCCGAGGCACGGTTTGAACTCAAGGATAGTACCAGGGGAAAATGAGGAAGCCTTTGCTTTCCTGGGACTTTCTGGAGCTGGGCATTCCCCATACTGTGGAGGTGCTGGCAAGAGAATTAAGATGATGGGCCAAATGAAATATGGAGGAAATGGAAGAGAAATCAGTGTAAGATCTTAAACTGAGGTTCAAACAATCAATTTCATAAGCACAAAGTGGTGGAGGTGGGGGAGGAGGTGTGTCTGGACTGTACAGACAGATAAAGTTATTCCTGCTAAGGTCTCACAAGAAAGCAAGGCTGTCCCTGCCCTCAAGGGGCTTCCTTTCTAACAGGCAAAGGCAACTGCTGAAGGAGAGCTGGAAAGGGGGAGAGGACCCCGGTCATTTTAAAAAAGATCTGGGGGTGGGAGGGGGAAGCTGGGTGTTGAATGCCATCTGAGTGACCAGGGCCAGGGAAGAGAGCTTCCTGCTGCCAGCTGCCACGGTCAGACCCTGGGGCAGGATTGTGTTCTGTTCTGGGCGCCATGTTCTCCAAGGGACTCGGATACGTCGGGAGAGTATCCAGAGCGAGGCATTCATGTTGCAGACAGACCTTGAGGTCACACCGTGGGGGAAGAGGAAGCCCAGGGGAGACGTGGCGGTCTTCATGGAGCCAAAGAGGGCTCAGGCTTGTGCTGCTTGGACCCTGTGGGAGGAACGGGTGGAGATCTCACTAAGGCCAAGGCAGGAAACCCTTCCCAACCACTGAGAGATCTCAGATAGCATTGGCTGCCCGTCTATACCTTATGTGTACATAGCTGTTTGTCTCTTGTTTCCCCATTAGATTTCAAGTTCCCTGAGGCCAGGGGCTAGTCTGCCTTTTTTTTTTTTTTGTATTTCCAACCTAGTACTTAGTAGGTGCTTAATAAATACTCTTTAATTTGTTGGCTAGTGAGTTCCCTTTCCATGCCTAGGGACACTCTAGGGAGTCACTGATTGCAGGAGATGCGCTTTGTTGATTCAGGGATGCAGGACGCCTGAGCCCCCCATCTCTGGTGGAGCTCCTCACTCATCCTCTCTGTCCCCACCCAGGAGAGCGTGAACAGGCTGCACGCCCAGATGCACGCCTTTGTCTCGGAGAGCCAGAAAGCAGCCGAGCTGGAGGAGAAGAGGCGCTATCGCTTCCTGGCCGAAAAGCACCTGCTGTTATCCAACACCTTCCTGCAGTTCTTCGGCCGGGTGAGCCAAGGGCCTGGGCTGGAGGCGCGGGCCAGGGAAGGGTTTCCCCCATCCCACCTTAGCCCTAGAAATCCTAGAAACACACATGTGGGGATTCCAGAAGTCACCGAGTTCTACTCCTCCATTTTACAGATGAGGAAACTGAGGTCTGGAGAGGGTGAGCTGCTTGCTCAAGGTTGCACTGGTAGTGAGTGGTGGAGCCCAGATTTGGACTCAGATCTTGTGACTCTAAGTCCAGTTGTCTGTTATTGACTAGGTAGGAAATGCTGGAACCGGTGCTGGAACCCGGGGCTTTCCATTCTGAGTCCAGAGCTCTTTCTAAGGAGCCAGGTCCCTCCCTCCCTGCCTTCTTTCCTTCTACCCTTCCTTCCTTCCCCAGATAAATAAATAGATGTAGATGGGGGCATGTGGGGCCTTCAGGGAGGACTAGAACCTCCAGTGTGAGGGCTGCTCATCCACATTTGGGGTCCACCTATCACCCAACTCTCAAATGTGACTCCAAGAAACTGTAGCACGTGCAGAGACCACACTCCGGTCAGCCTTCTCACAGATGGACTGGGCTAGGTCGAGGGTAACCAGTGGGCCTCAAGACTGTCAGTGAGTTAGGGTGGGAGAGGGGTCCCACCCCACGCATGTGAGGACTTCCCCTGGCAGAAAGAGCAGATGAGAACAATTTGTTCCACTGGCTACAAAGGCGGCTGAAACAGGCACCATGCAGCACCTAGAACGTGGTCAGACGTCAAAGATGCCAAGATTATCCACTGCATCCTGGGCCACTGACAGTAGTTTTTGACTTTTGTCCAGCCACTGGACTTCGATGAGTAAGGAGGACAGAGTGAGGCCAGTGACTTTGTGCGACTCTGCCTCACGTAAATCCAATGGATTCACAATTCAAGACATCACCCGTAATGTCACTGGTCATCTTTGAAAATGAAGGACAAAGAACACAAGATATAGATGAATAATTTCTACCTACCTATCTGTCCGTCTATCTATCTATCCATCCATCCACCCATCTTTCTGTCTGTCTCCATCTATCCATCCAACTATCTATCCAACTATCTATCTGTCTGTCTGTCCGTCCGTCTATCTATGCATCCATCCATCCATCCATCTATCTGTCTGTCTGTCTATTCATCCATCCACCCATTCATCTGTCTATCCATCCATCCATCCATCCATCCATCCATCCATCCATCCATCCATCTGTCTGTCTATCTGTCTATCTATCTATCCATCCATCCACCCGTCTTTTTGTCTGTCTCCATCTATCCATCCAACTATCTATCCAGCTATCTGTCTATCCCTCTGTCCGTCTGTCTATCTATCCATCCATCCATCCATCTATCTGTCTGTCTATCTATCTATCTATCTATCTATCTATCTATCTATCTATCTATCTGTCTGTCTGTCTGTCTGTCTGTCTGTCTGTCTGTCTATCTATCTATCTATCTACCAGAATGACTGGAATGGTGAGGAGGGGGATTAGAAATGGATTGAAGGAACTGGGGATACTTAGCTCAAAGTAGGAGATGAAGAACACATTCACTTTTCCAGTATTTTCTAAAATTTCAGTTAGAAAAAACCTCAAAGGGGTGTGTGTGTGTGTGTGTGTGTGTGTGTGTGTGTGTGTGTGTGAGAGAGAGAGAGAGAGAGAGAGAGAGAGAGAGAGAGAGTGAGAGAATGGTGAGTCCAAGAGAATCCCAAGATGGCACACCTGGATGTCTGGAAGGCTGATGAGGGCCTCCAAAGGGGTAGGATGCTTAGGGAGGGGGAGGATAATTTGGGGTGGCAGCAGGGGGAGGATAATGAAGTCTGTTTTAGATATGTCAGACTTGGGGTGCCCATAGGGCACCCAGGCTGATGACATGTAGGACCAGAGACCAGGAGAGAAATGGAGGCTAGGTACATGGGTTTGGGAGTAATTGTGTGGTAAGTCTACCTGGCAATATCTGACTCCTCCAGGCCCCTCATTACCCCCTGTGTAGGTTATTACAATTGCCTTGTGAGGCATCATTCTAATCTATTCTCGGTATTAATGCCTATGTTTATTACATTATGGTCTAAAAAAGATGTTTCACATTTCTGCCTTTTAACATTTATTTTTAATGTATTTCTGCCTCAGCACGTGGTCTATAAAAGCCAGTCTATCCATCAGCATTTTAAAGTGCTTACTATGTGCTAAGCACTGGGAGTATAAAGAGAAAAGTCCCTGCCCTCAAGGAGCTTACCTTCTAATGTGGGAAATGATACGCTCCCATATTGACATGTCCAAGACAAATACAAAGGATTTTAGAGGGAAAACCAGGAGATTGGGGTGAGGGGGAGGAGAACAGGAGAATTCAAAGGTAGGAAGGCGCTGCTTGAAATGAGCCTTGAAATAAACCAGGGATTCCAAGGAACGGAAAGTATTCTAGGCATAGGGCACCGTGATAGAGGGTTGAGTGAAGAACAGAAAGTAGGCTGGGAGGGACCGTCCTAGAAACCAAGGAAGAAGCTGATATTCAGCAGAAGAGACCTAGAATGGGGAATGTCAGGGCTGAGAGGGGCCCCAGAACAGGGGATGTCAGAGCTGGGAGGGGGCCCTAGAACAGGGGATGTCAGAGCTGGGGGAGAAGCTTAGATTCCACACCCTCATTTTCTGACAAGCAAACTGGGGCTCAGATGGGGCTTCTGATTTACCAAAGGTCATGGTGAGGACCCATCAGGGCCAGGACTTGAACCCTTCTCTCCTCCTCTCCTAGGCCCGAGGCATCCTGCAGAACCGAGTTCTCTTGTGGAAGGAGCAGTCTGAAGCCAGCCGAAACTCCTCTCGTGCCCATTCTCCAGGCCTGCTGGGCCCTACCCTGGGGTCAGCCTACCCATCAGGCCGCCTGACCCCCACCCGCCTGGAGATGGTGAGCCCCTGGGAGCTGCCGGTGCCACCTTTCTCACCCCCCCTGTACCCACCCCCCACCGTGCCCCTCTCTCCCTGGGACTTGAGGCCCCCATCCTGGGCGATCCTCCCCCCTAGAACCTCAAGCTTCCGAGAGACCCTGTCCTCCCCCTACCTCCCCCCCGGGGTCTCCCCTCCACCTCCTCTGTGGCTTGGGAGGAGGCTACTGAATCCCTATGGGGAGCCCTGGGACTGGGGGTGGGGGGCAGAATAGGGTGGGGGGCAGCCCTGCCTCTTCCCCCCCTTCCCCACCCTCCCCTGCCCGTCTCCCCTCGCAGCCCCAGAGGCCTCTGGGAGACTTCAGCTCTCCCCGGAGCCGGCATAGCTCGGGCTCCTATGGCCAGGAGCCCAGCGAGGGGAGACCTGTGTCCCAGCTGGACCCGGATCGGATGTCCCTACCCCGGACACCGTCTTCTAGTGAGTCACAGGACAGACCCCTCCCCACACAGAAGTTCTGGGAACAGTCCTTGCTCACCCCTCCCCACTCCCCTGGCCAATACAGACCCTCCCTTGGGGAATCCTGTTTCCTTCCCCAAAATGAAAAACAATATTTTCCCTTCCCAAGAAGACCCAGCACTATTAGGATTGGGAAGGACCTTAGAATTTGGAATGTTAGACCTGGAAGGGGCTTTAGAACAGGGGATGTCAGAGGTGGGAGGGGCCTGGGAACAGAGGATGTCAGAGTTGGGGACTTAGAACAGAGAGCGTCAGCAGAAAGAGAAAACTTAGAACAGAGGATTACCTAGCTAGAAGGGAGCTCAGAGCAGAAAAAAAATCAGTTCTAGGAAGGGCCTCAGAGCCTAAATGGGAATGTCAGAGGTAGAAGGCTCCATAAGGACCCCCACTGTATCCATCCAGACATCCCTCTTCCTTCCTCCCCCAAGCCAAGAGCCACATCCCTTCTCCCAGGGAGTCCAAGCACCCACTCTACGCCCCCCCCCCACTGCTGCACAGCCCCCACCCCCATCCCTTGGGAGGAGTCCAGGGTCCTGACAGCCACTCCCACCCCACCAGTCTTACAGCTGATGGCATCCTCACTGGGACCAAATCTGGGCTTAGCCGCTGTCCACTCGGGCAGAGCAAGAGGAAACAGGAGGGATTCTTGCAGTGACCTGTGAGGGAGGGCACGGGCCTGGTGCACGGACTGACCCTGCTCTCGCCCACCCCCTGCACAGCCTCCTTGTATGCCAGCAGCACCCCACGGTCCCGCTCCAACTCGTTCGGGGAGCGGCAGGGCAGCGGCAGGGGCCCCCAGCGAGCTCGGGCCTTGGTATCCCACTCGGAAGGCGCCAACCACACCTTGCTGCCCTTCTCAGCTGGCGACGTGGTCCTGGTGCTGGTGCCTGAGGCCCACAACGGCTGGCTGTATGGCAAGCTGGAGAGGTCATCCGCGTGAGTGGGGGACAGGCAGGAGGAGGCTACCTGGGTTCCTGGGATCACAGATCTCTAGCTAGGAGGAAGCTGAGAGGTTGTCAAGCCCAATGCCTTCATTTTTACAGAGAGGGAAACTGAGGCTCAAAAAGGGACTTCCCCAAGCCAGATTGGGGTCCCAGATCAGCCTTATGCACAGTGTGATCTCAGCAAGTCACCTCTTCTCTCTGGGCCTCAATTTCCTCATTTGCAAAATGAGGAGGTTGGATGGACTTGCCTTGAATGTCTAGAGCTAGGGTCATGTAGCTTGAGCCCTCCAGTGATGAGGAACTCCCAGGCAACAATAGCATGGTTCATGAATGATATGCCTGCCTCACCTAGAGGAGGCCAGGAGAGGACCTGGTCTGAGGGCTTGGGGATGGTCACCGTCAGCCTGGGGAGGGGAGGGGAGGGTGAGGCTCTGGCAACCTCTGATCATGCCCTCCTTCCCCTGCCCCCCAGGAGCGGCTGGTTCCCGGAGACGTACGTGAAGCCCCTGGAGGATCTGCCCACTAATGAGCTGCCCTCCAGGTAAGGGCAGCAAGAGGGCTGGGGAAGGAGGGGTGGCTGCCAGGGCCAGGGGACTGACTGGCCACACAACTGAGTGCACTTGGGGAGAATGGCGGGGAAGAGCCCCAACCCTTTGAGTTACTGAGAAAGCTGGAAAAAAGGCCTCCCCGCGCCGGCCAAAATCCTCTACCCTGCCGCCAAGGTCCAGCCCTCCGCCTCCAGTCGGGTTGGCCCAGGCACGTCTCCTCGGCTCGCCGTGGGTGGGGCAGGGGCTGACCTCTCATCACCCTCTCCGCTCAGGTCCTACCCGCTTCGGGGCACTCACAGCCTGGACAATCTCCTAGACCGCCCCGTGAGCATGCCGGCTTCCTCAGAATACTGGGACGGCCGTTCCCGGCCCCACAGCCCCAGCAGGACAACCAGCAGGGCCACAAGCCGAGCCCCCAGCCCGCCCCCGCTGCCCCCCGACAGCAGCCGCAGAAGCAGTGTGGGCAGCACGGGGGGCTCCAGCGATGCCAAGGTGAGCTCTCCATGCCCTTCGGTGCCCTAGAGTGAGTCAAGAGACCCAGCCTGCCTCTGACCAACCTGGCTACCTCCCGCCGGCCATCTGGGCTCTCCTCTGAGAGGAGCTCCTGGCGGTCTCCCCACTCATGGATCCGAGGGCTGGGAGGAACCTCAGAGGTCATCTACTCCAACCCCTTCACTGTACGGAGGAAGAAACTGAGACACGGAGAAGTGACTCATGCAAGATCAAAGAAGGGTCAGAGGGAGGATGGGAAGCCAGGCTCTTGGAAAAGAAAGAGCAAGCGCTCCTTCCACTGGACCACACTGTCTTGCTGTGCTTCTAGCCCCGACCTTCCCTGTTCTAAGGCCCCTCCCAGCTCTGATGTTCTAGGTTCCCAGGCCCCTCCCAAGTCTGGTGTTCTAAGTTCTCAGGCTCCTCCCAGCCCTGACATTCCCTGTTCAGGGGCCCCTCTCAGCCCTGACATTCTCTGTTCTAAGGCCCCTCCCAGCCCTGACATTTCCTGTTCTCAGGCTCCTCCCAGCCCTGACATTCCCTGTTCAGAGGCCCCTCCCAGCTCTGACATTCTCTGTTGTAAGGTCCCTCCCAGCCCTGACATTTCCTGTTCTAAGGCCCCTCCCAGCCCTGACCTTCTCTGTTCTAAGGCCCCTCCCAGCCCTGACATTCTCTGTTCTAAGGCCCCTCCTAGCTCTGATGTTCTAGGTTCTCAGGCCCCTCCCAAGTCTGATGTTCTAGGTTCTCAGGCTCCTCCCAGCCCTGACATTCCCTGTTCAGAGGCCCCTCCCAGCTCTGACATTCTCTGTTGTAAGGTCCCTCCCAGCCCTGACATTCCCTGTTCTAAGGCCCCTCCCAGCCCTGGCATTCTCTGTTCTAAGGCCCCTCCTAGCTCGGATGTTCTAGGTTCTCAGGCCCCTCCCAGCCCTGACATTCTCTGTTCTAAGGCCCCTCCCAGCCCTGACATCCCATGTTCTAAGGTCTCTCAAAGCGCTGAAGTCCTTAACTTCTGAGTCATGGCTCTGACACTTCTCAGCTGTGTGACTCTGGACGGGTGACCCCTCTCTCAGACTCAGCTCCCTCATCTGTAAGGCAGAGAACATTCTTGTATTTCCCAGCTCACAGAGCCCTCGGGGGTGGGGGGGCAAAGACCTAGAACACTGTGAATTCTGCTTCCTTTTCTTTGCCTGTGAAATGTGAAGCTGGGCTTCCCTCTAGGTCCCCCTTCTCTGCTCCCTCCCACCATGGACTCTGTAGTTAAGGCTCAAGGCCTCCTTTGGACAGACAGTAGCTGCTCAACATTCAAACTTCTCTGGGGGCAGAGAAACATTGTCCTTTTCACCAGTGTGGTGGACAGAATGCTGGAGAAGTCCGGAAGGCCAGGATTCAAATCTTGCCTCAGACACTTAGTAACTGTATGACCCTGGCCAAGTCCCTTACCCTCTGTTTGCCTCAGTTTCCTCCTCTGTTAAATGGAGATCATAATAGCTCACAGAGCTGAGGTGGAGATCAACACTGACGTTTATAAAGTGCTATAAATGCTCTCTGCTGCTGTCTAGCTGTTAGTGGGAGAGGGCTCGATGGACAGACAGGGCCAGCTCCGGCTCTCCAGCCCCTCCCTTCCACACTAACTAGTCCCTCCTTTGCAGAAGCTGATGGCCTGGGAGCAGCAACCCCCAGAGCTCTTCCCCCGGTGAGTGTGAGACCGGCCAGACAAGGGCAGCCTGGGGTGGACTGAGCAGATACCTGGGGAGGGTGGCGGCTGGGCCCAAATTTCCCCTTGCCCCGCCCTGATGGGAGCTCCTGGACCAGTTGGGAGGGACAGACTTAGAAGATTCTGGAACCCAGGTCAGAGCACGCTATCTGGTGTCCATGTACGAGGGGCCGTGAGCCTTCTCTAGATCTCCCTCCCCTTCTGGAGAGGCGATCTGAACCCCACCTCAAGCCCTGCGTGAGTCTGTGGGGAGCCATGCCGCAGTCTCACTAAGATTATGGAAGGTCGCCCCTTATTTTTTCTCTCCCTCACTGCCTTTCTCTCCACCCAGAGGCACCAACCCCTTTGCCACCGTGAAACTTCGTCCCACCGTCACCAACGACCGCTCGGCCCCCCTCATCCGCTGAGGACCCCCTGGTCTGGGGAGTGTCTGTCCCCAGACTCGGCCTCACCCAGCATGCACGCAGAAGCCCCAGAAAGCACCTGGAAGCCTCTTGTGGGTACCCGAGCAGAAGATTCCAGGGACATTGGGGTCCATGGCATGAGCCCTCTGCCCGCTCTCTCTTCCCAGCCGGGGAAGATTCTGAAGCAAGAGAGACTCTGTGCTTCCTGAATGAGACAGGGTGACACCAGGGCCAGGGGACCAGACTGCCAGGGCCTCACTCCAGGGAGAAGGCCAGCGGGGGCTCTCTCCATCCATCCCTCCTTCCCTCCATCCATCCATCCATCCATCCCTCCATCCCTCCATCCATCCCTCCCTCCCTCCCTCCATCCATCCCTCCATCCCTCCCTCCCTCCCTCCATCCCTCCATCCCTCCATCCATCCCTCCCTCCCTCCCTCCATCCATCCATCCCTCCCTCCATCCCTCCCTCCATCCCTCCATCCCTCCCTCCCTCCCTCCATCCCTCCCTCCCTCCATCCCTCCCTCCCTCCATCCCTCCCTCCCTCCCTCCATCCCTCCCTCCATCCATCCATCCATCCATCCCTCCATCCCTCCCTCCCTCCCTCCATCCATCCATCTCTCCCTCCCTCTCTCCCTCCCAGAGGGCCAGACGCAGCATAGTGAGGGACTTTCCCTTGCCTGCTCCATCCTCTCCCACTGTCTCCCCCAGAGGCCAGAGAAGCTCTCCTCCCTACCCCCTCCCCGGGCTTGGAAGCAGCCAGTGTTTGATTGTATAAATGGGTGTGAATTAAAGCAGATGGTTCCAAGGCAGAGGAGCAGCTGAGCAGGGTGTGTTTGTTGGGATCGTGTTGGGGGGAGCTGGGGGACCCCGAATCGAGGGCTCCGACTGACCGTGGCCCAGTCAGAAGCCAGGCCTGTTTGATGCTCCAGACAACGCTGTTATTCCCAGCTTCCCCTTGGCAGGTACTTTCTTGAATCTGACCTGCATCTTGCTCTGTATCCCCTGCCCCCCAAACCCCCATCTCGTCTTGTCCACCCCAGCTTGGGACAGTAGGCTGGTCACTCCAGCGCAATCTGAGTCTGGCCCTTCCCCAGTCTTAGGAGCTGTGTCCACACCCCCATTCGGGGCCCCACCTTGATTGAGGAAGGGGTCCCGACTGCCCAGAGCCTAAGACAAGGCCAGTTTTGTTCCAGAGTGCCCCCCCAAGCCAACAGGCCTCTGGGACTTAGCTGCAGAGGAATGCCTCCCCTGGGCACCAGCCTGGGCTAGGCTCCTCCCTGGAGGTGTCCCCACACCAGGAATGTGACCCCAGGCAGAGGGGCTAAAGTGCTTAGGAGATTAGGGGGCCTTCCCTTCCTGGGGCTGGGCTCTAGATCGTCTATGACTCCTAGGATTAGGAGCTGAAAGGAACTTTAGAGAAGGAGTCCATCTGCCTGGTTTTTCAGAGGAGGAAACTGAGGCAGAAAAAAGTGAAGGAGAAACTTGTTTACAGTGACACAAACACTAAGCCCAGATTTGAACTCGGGGCCTGAGACACGAGATGGCATTGTTCTTTTCACTACCCCCATGCATCCTCCTGGACCTTATCCTGTTTGAGTGAAACCTAAAATTGTTTTATGTGGGCTGGCTGTGTGGTGTGCCCTGAGTGGCCCAGTGCACAGACCTAGGTTCAAAGCTGGCCTCGGACACTTAACTTGGTGACCCTGGGCAAGTCACTTCACCCTGTTTGCCTCAGTTTCCTCATCTGTAAGATGAAGCCAGAGAAGGAAATGGCAAACCCCTGCAGTATCTCTGCCGAGAAAACTCCACATAGGGTCACGAAGAGCTGGACACGACTGAGACAACTCGATAACAACTGAAAAGTTATTCCCCCCCACCCCCCATCGTGCCTAGGACAGTGTCCTGAACCGAGGCTCAGGCCATGGCAGTGACTGGCTGTAACCAGCACCACTTTCTTCTCCCACCTAAGCCTCTTATCAGGGGGACGCGTAGAGGGACGAACTCGGGTTATAAGCCTGGTCTCCACCCCGCTCCCCACTCCCCACCTGTTCCTTGTCCTAGCTGCAGCCAGCCCCAGCGGACACCCAGCAGTCAGGGAAGGGGGAGGGGCGCTTTAAAGCTTGATCGGACTCCTAATCCCTGGGGTCCAGTTGGGCTGTGGGGGAGCCCGTGTGACTGAGCCTCGGAGGGTCTGAGCCCAGCAGCATCGGAAGCGCCTGGTGGAGGTTGGCACAGAGGGGCCTCAATAGGTGGGAGCGGCCGGAGAGGCCCAGGTGGGTAACCCCTGGACCCGCACGCAGTTGGGGGAGGCTCTCTAAGGCTTGCAGCTTGGGAATGCCGAGCAGCCCTGGCCTGGGCAGGCAGCCTGAGAGAGGCAGGAGCAATGTTGGACCAGGGACCAAGAGACCTGGGAGGCTTTGAATCCTGCCCCGCGCGCTGACTGACTGTGTGACCCTGGGCAAGTCTCCTGAGACGCAATTTCGGATTGTTTTAAAAGTAATCGTTTTTATCCTGAACTTGACAAACATCAAACAGAACAGGCATTCGCACTTGAATTGTACGCAGAGCTGCTGGTCTCTACAGTGGACAGCCTGCTTCCCTGTTCTGAATTTACTACGCTCAGCCTGGAGCTTTCAAAGATGCATGCTTGAGGTCCCTTCCAGCTCAGAGATGCCGCAGTTTGGTTCATCTTCTGGCCTTTCTTCTAGTCTCTTCTCTCCTTCCAAAAAAAAAAAAGAGGTCTCCCTGACCCTCTCAGCTTTCTTTGAGCCTCAGTTTCCACCTCTGTAAAAGGGGAACGATAATTTTTCATCTCTTTACGTATTTATAAGGCAGCTGCGAGTGGAGTTGTAACTAGGAATTCTGAAGCCTGGGACAAATCCCAGGGAAAAGCCGGGGGAGAGGTGGATGTCTGTTACGTCTAACTATACTGTGGCTGGCAGGTTGGAGACAGAGTTGGGGAGGTAGAGGAACTGGGGTTCAGGGTGTTCGCAGGGGGCTAGGGCTCAGGTGAAGAAGACTTTGAGCAGGCACGGAACAGCTAGGAGGCTGGAAAGGTCCAAAGACACCAGAAATGAGCATCCCCACAGGATGGAGTGAGCCTGAAGGGAGGACGGGATTGCCAAGTGATTATGGCTGAGGGAGATGCTGAAGGTGGATCCCAGCGCTTTCTGTGCGCCTGGGCTGACTAGGTGTGGCAGGAGCGGCTGGCTTTGGAGAAGGGGCCAAGACGGGTGGGGTCTTCAGGAGAAGCCCAGCTCTCAGGGAGCACAGGAAATGGAAACAAGGCAGGATGGAGGGGAGCTCCCGAGGGACCAGAGGAAGGCAAGGACCGAGCTGGAGGGGGTGAGTGGGGAGCAGTTATGGATGGAAAGGGGTGCCCCTTCCCACCCCCTGCTTCCCTAGCCTCCAGCACCAACTAGCTGCTCCCTTGCCCTCTCCCCCCAAGTCCCCCAAATCCAGGAGTAGCTGGAGCAGGTGCAGTGTCAGAGGCTCCCCCACAGTCCCTGCCAGCACCCCGCTTCTCCACCCTTTGCAGAGCCCAAAGGGATGCTGGACCAGGAGGCACCAGAGCAGTAGCAGCCCCACCGGGGCCCCCAACCCCAGAGGGCGGCGCCTGGAGAAAAACTCTGGATGCCTCACTTCAGCTGTGGTTCACATTTTGAAGGGAGGGGTTTGCAAACTTTGAACACTCTAGAAATAGAAATTAGAATCAGGACCCAACCGGATACATGTGAGGAGGACACAATGTTTTTAGAGCTAAAGGGATCCCAGAGATCATTAAGGCCAACCCCCTCATTTTACACATGAGGAAACGGAGGCCCAGAGACAGAAGGCAAGTTGCCCAAAGCCACGCTGCATGTTCATGCAGAGGCATAAGTAGGACTCGGTTCCCCAGCTTGTATCCTGAAAACCTTTCTGGAGCCAGGAAAACATTTCAGGGAAGCAGAGGTCACGTAGTCTAATTCCCTCTTTTATAGACGGGGAGAATCAGGCTTAAAGAAGGGAAATAACTTTGCCAAGGTCACACAAGTATTCGGTGTCAGAAGTGGCATGTCAGCCTCAGCCCCGAGGCAGCGCCCTTCTGGGTCTCTACAATGTGCCTGACGTCAAAATCACCTTCTGATTGGGAAGGGACTAGACAGGGGTCAGAGAGGGTTCTCAGCTTTTACTGCAACCCCCCCATCCCCCAAAGTACTTGGGAGAGGAGAGGATGAGTGGGGAAGGTATCTCCGCAGACCCTCCCCACTCATTCTGGGCTCCCCCCAAACTGAAGGCTTCTCTTTTCCATGGCCCTCGGTCCCTGCCTCAGTTTCCCTGACTCACTAGTGCCCTCTCTGCTTGCAGCCCTCCGCTGGCCAGCTGGTGATGGGGGCCGGTGGTCCCTCTGGGCGGCCTGGGCCAGCTCCCGATGGCGGCTGGGGCTGGGCGGTGCTACTTGGCTGCTTCGTGGTGACGGGTTTCTCCTACGCCTTCCCTAAGGCGGTCAGCGTGTACTTCAAGGCTCTCATGCGGGACTTCGGTGTGGGTTACAGCGACACGGCCTGGATCTCCTCCATCATGCTGGCCATGCTCTATGGCACAGGTCCGGGGAGGGGGTCGGGGGTCGGGGGGCAGCCTGGCCCCATCTCCTCCCTCCCTCCCTTCCATAGCCCTGTCTGTCCCTGGGTCCCCTACCCCCAGTGCCCTCCTGGGGACCCCCAGTCACAAGACTCCAACTCCTCCTCTTCTGCCCTGCGCCTGATCCTGGGGACCCCTTCCCCCAGCCTTCTCTGGGGAACCTCCTCCAGACAGCCCTGCTCTCTAGGCTCCTCACCCCCTTCTGCCCATCCCGGTGATCCCTCTCCTTTCTTCCCCAAGCCCAGCCTTGCGTCTCCTCGTCCTCTGCTAGAACTCCCAAACCTTTGAACATGGGCAGACTTCTGCCCTCTAGCCCCCAAGTCCCTTCTGGGGACCCCCACCCCTGATCCAAAGCCAGAGAATCGTTGCTGTCCCCTCAACCCTGCCCCCACTCGAGGTGTCCCCGTAATCCCGGCCCCTCCCCAGGTATGGTCTCAGCCCAAGGCTGGGCAGCCCTCAGCTGCTCTTGGGACCACCCCGTCTGGGGCCTGAGGACTCACTGGCAGTCAGCCACAGAGGGGATCTACTGCTGCCTGAGCTAACCTCGGGCTGTTTTGTTTTCCTTTCTCAAGCCTCAGATAAGAGCAGTTTTATAGCTAATATGAGTCCTGAGAGCTGAGGGCCATCTTCACCCAGACCTCCGCTCACTGCAATACCCTAGGATCCGTAGTGGATAAAGGTCCGAGTTGGCAGGAAGTGCTGAGTTCTAATCCTGCCTCAGACATCACCTGGGTGACCCTGACCAAGTCACCTCGCAGACCTCCCCTGCCCACCCCTCTCACCCTGCAGGGCCCTTGTCTAGTATCCTGGTAAATCAGTTTGGCTGCCGTCCTGTGATGCTGTGCGGGGGTCTGTTGGCCTCCTCTGGGATGATCCTGGCCTCCTTCACCACCAGCCTCGTGGAGCTGTATCTGACGGCCGGAGTGCTCACAGGTCAGACTCCGGCCCCGACCCCCTTACCAAGGTCTTGGCCAATCTTCCCCCCATCCCAAGTTGTGGCTCTCTCCACGGGTGGGCTGTGACTGTGGGCGAGGAGGAGGAGGTTGGACAGGTGACCTCTAAGCTCTAAGCATGTCAGAGTCAAACCTGCGCTAAGCTGGGAGGCAGGCGCCCTGGGGTCTACTCTCTACTGTCATCTGAGCCTTCTGGGCTTCACTTTCCTCATCTGTAAAATGGGGGCGTTGGGTTAAATGATCTCTAAGAGCGGGCCCTGTGAGGCTCAGCGTGGGGCCTGACACACCGTAGGGGCTTGATAGATGCAAGGGTACCTGACTTTCAGTTCTATGAAGCCCAAGCCCTCCCACGCCTCTCACCTTCTCCAATGGCACCCCTAATCCCGCCCTCTCCGGTGTTCACCTCCCTCTCCTTCCCAAGCCTCCTGGCACAGACAGAGGAAGGTGGCGTGTCCTCCCCCGGCCTCTCACACAGGCTGGACGGCCCTCGAGGAGCCCCGTGTCCAGCCTGACCGTGACTCCCCCCTCTCACCCCTCAGGCCTGGGCATGGCCCTCAACTTCCAACCCTCACTCATCATGCTGGGCCTGTACTTTGACCGCCGGCGGCCCCTGGCCAACGGACTGGCGGCGGCCGGCAGTCCCGTCTTCCTGTCCGCCCTGTCTCCTCTGGGCCAGGTCCTGCTGGAGCACTTTGGCTGGCGGGGGGGCTTCCTCCTTATGGGGGGGCTGCTTCTTAACTGCTGCACCTGCGGAGCGGTCATGAGGCCCCTGAGCGGTGGCCCCGGGGCCCGGGGAGGGGCCGGGCCTGAGGAGGAAGCCAGGGAGATGCTGCCTCTGGAGCAGGGAAAGAAGACGGCGGTGGGGAGCGTCGGCGGGCAGCAGCGGAGACGGCGGCGGAAGAAGCGGCTGCTGGACTTCTCCGTCTTCACCGACCGGGGCTTCGTGGTGTACACCATCGCCAAGTTCATCCTGGTGCTGGGCCTGTTTGTGCCCACCATCATGCTGGTCAACTATGCCAAGGACGCGGGCGTGCCCGACACCGACGCCGCCTTCCTGCTGTCGGTGATCGGCTTCGTGGACATAGTGGCCCGGCCGGCCTGCGGGGCGCTGGCCGGGCTGGCCAGGGTCCGGCCCCACGTGACCTATCTCTTCAGCCTGGCCATGCTGGCCAACGGGCTCACTGACCTGTGCAGTGCCCGGGCCCGCTCCTATGGCGCCCTGGTGGGCTTCTGTGTGGCCTTCGGCCTTTCCTACGGCATGGTGGGCGCCTTGCAGTTCGAGGTGCTCATGGCCACCGTCGGAGCCCAGCGATTCCCCAGTGCCATCGGCCTCGTACTGCTGGTAGAGGCCGTGGCGGTGCTCATAGGCCCGCCCTCAGCCGGTAGGTGACCCCGGCGGCGTCAGGTGCACATTCTGGGGTGGAATCGTAGCCCCCCCTTTTACTGGAGGCCTGAGGACCCCACCCCGAAGTGAAAGAATTAGATCATCTCCAATGCCCTTTAGGAGTCTATGATTCTCCCAAATGACTTGGACGACCCTCAGTCCCGAGAGCTGTGGTCCTTTCCTCCCTCTGACCCCTTTGCATCCCCAGCCTCGTCCTGGTCTGTCCAGGACACTCCTGAGGAGCAGATTTAGAGTCTGAAGGTGGTTTCAAGCTAGCTCTGCATCTTAAGTGCATGCTGGGTGACCACCTCTGGGTCTCAGGTTCCACATCTGTAAAATGAGGGGGTAGCCTAAGGGTACCACCTCTGACCTTGTGACCTCTCTGGCCCCAGACTCATCGGTAAAATGAAGGGGCTGGGGGAGACAGCCCATCAGGTTTGATTGGGTCACATGTCGCCATCCTCCTTCATGTCCTACCTCCTGCAGGTCGCCTGGTGGACACCCTTAAGAACTACGAAATCATCTTCTATCTGGCCGGTTCTGAGGTGCTACTGTCCGCTCTCTTCCTCTCCACGGCCACCTACTGCTGTCTGAGGAAGCCTCGAGGCCCAGAACTCACCCCGGACCCTCCCACTGGGGCTAAGGACACAGAAGAGGCTGAGTACGACAGTGACCCCAGCCCCGGCGCTGCTGCTACGGCTACCACCCAGCACTCCGAGAACCACGTGGCCCCCGACATGGGGCAGGCTGAGGAAGAAGAGGAAGAGGAGGGGGAGGAGGAGGGGAAACCTGTCCTGGGAGGCTCTGCAGAGACTCTCAGCAAAGGTGGATTCTAGCCTCCAAGGTGCGGAGGGCGGGGGCTTTGGGAGCACAGGGAAGAATGCTTCAGTGGTGCGTTTTCATCCTGGGAGGGGGCTCTCCTCTTCCCAAGGGGGGGCCGCCAAGTCCGTGAGATGGCTGCCTCCTCCTGCTGCGGACAGAGCAGCGTAGCAGCCCCGTTCACTGTCATCCTCCAGCGGCCCACCTCTTCTGGGCTGAGCTGCCCTCCATGGGGACTGAGGGTCACCTGCCCCTGTAACTGAGAGCCCCTCACATACCAATAGGACACTGGTACTAGTTCTGTGTGCTCCAACCTGCCCTCCCCCTCATCGCCAGGCCTAGCTTATTGTCCATCTGTGGTGCCTGTCCCAGATATCAATACACACTGATGGACTGACTTGATGGACTGCCCATTCAACTCCACGTCACAGTTGGTAATGCATTCTTCATCCATTTGGCTCTTCCTGTATGGATGGCCAGAATGATTGAGTTATAAGACTAAGGGGTGGGGAGAGGGGATGAACCACATTAATGACAGAATCATGGGGGCATAGAGACATATAATCTAGGGCTATCCCACTCCTCTTTCCCTCAAGAAATTCTAAGAAGCAGGACTCCTAGGTTCTCATCCCAGTGATCTGGCATGTAACATAAGGCTTGTCCCTTGTACCTTCTTAGATCTAGAAGTAGGGTAGACCCTAATTAAGCAAGGCTGTTTGCTTAGCCTTAATGCCCTCCGTAAGAGAGTGAGAAGGTATGTGTGTGGGGCAAGGGGGAAGCCATTTTCCTTCCATACCTCACCCCATGGTGGAAATAACATTGAGAGCCACGAGACCTGGATTCCTTCCCTGACATGACACTAGCTCACCATGTGAGCTTGGGCCAATCAGTCCTCCACCCTCAGGCCTCAGAGCTGAAAGGGATTCCAGTGAAGCTGGTCCAACCCACAGCTGAACAGGAATCCTTGAAAGAAGTCAAAAGCCCTTCCCTGCTGCTGCCTAAACCAGATTAAAATGTAATTGGAAATTAACAAAATTAATAAAAATGCAATAGGACATAGATGTTAGTGCATGGTCTTCTAAGTCCATAAGCTGCCTGCTGGCATCCTTACGTACGCTGTAGTCATCAACTTGTATTTCAGTTTGACACCGTTGGCCCAGCACATGGCCGGCGGGCCTCCAGCGACAAGGACCCATGCTTGTCAAAGCAGTTCATCCACTCTTGGCCAGCATTGATTGGTCATTTTTTTCTTCCATTAAGCCTAAGTCTCTCTCTCTGTAACTCCCCCCCCACCAGTCGCTCCTGGGGAGCCAAGCAGAACACGTTTTTCTCCTCCTATGAGACCCCTTCACATGCTTGGAAGATGCCTCTCCCCCCGTCCTGAATAGGATGGTCTCCACACCTGACCACCATCCTGTGCACGGGGAGAGGAGTGCAGCGGGTGAAATGCCTAACAGGAGTGAAGACAACCTGGCTTCAGCGTCTCACCTCTGACTCCAGCTGTTTGACTTTGGGCAGATCACTTCCCTCCATTTGCTTTGCTGTAAAATGGGTTTGGGGGGACTTCCTACAAGGACTTTTTTGAGGCTCAAATAAGTTAATAACATCAAAGCACTGTGCAAGTTCTAAGGGGCTGTGTGTCCATTATTATTGTCCTTGCCAAGCTGTGGTGCCCAGAACTGAACACGATTCTCAAGCTCCATCTGACAAAGTCAGGGCACTCAGGGACACTCATGGCTCCAGTTGACCACCATGTTCCTCAAAGGCCCATCTTCTGTCGTCTCACGTTGACCTTGTAGTTTAGTTTACCAAAAACTTTGGCTCATTTTCACACACACACACACAGGCACAATAGGAACAGCCCCAATTCTTGCAGTCAGAGGACCTGGCTGCACATGCCGCCTCTGAAGAGGACTACTGTATGGTTTTGACTCTCCCTGGGCCTGCTTCCTCATTGGGTAAAACGAGGCAATTGCATTCCCCAAATGATAAATGGTTCCAAAGGTTAGGAACTGTCAGTGTTCAGAGGAAGAAAACCAAACTACCAATACCCACGTGAAAATATGCTAAGAATCACTGCTAGAGAAATGCATCTTAAAACAAAAATGACGAATGCTGGTGGTGCTGTGGGAAAACAGGGATATCAGACACAGTGGTTCTTTTTTTCTTTTTTAGGCAATTGGGGTTAAGTGACTTGCCCAGGGTCACACACCTAGTAAGCGTCGAGTGTTTGGTCTGAGGCCGGATTTGAACTCAGGTCCTCCTGACTTCCGGGCTGGTGCTTTATCCACTGTGCCACCTCGCTGCCCCCTCAAATACACTGTTGATGGAGCAGTGGGCTGGTCCAGTTATTCTGGAAAGCAATTTGGATCCATGCCCAAAACACTACTAAACTGTGCCTACCCTTTGACTAAAGAGACCAAAGAATGGGGGAAAGGACCTATATTTATAGCATACTTACAGCAGCGCTGTTTTCTGTGGCAAAGATAAAACCAAGGGGATGCTCATCAGTTGGGGAAAGGCTAACCCAGTTCTGGTGTACATGATGGAATACTAGTGTGCACAAAGGAACAGTGAAGGGGGCAGTTTTAAGAGAAACCTTGGAAGACTCCTGTGAGCTGATGCAGAGAAGTGAGCAGGACCAGAACAGTCTGTAGAAGAGCAGGCGCAGGAACTCTGCTCAATCAACCAAGTGCCTACTATGTGAGCAGCCACAATTCCAGACGAATCATGGTGAAACAGGTCATCTCCCTAGCTCCTAAGAGAGGGGATGGACTCGAGTACTGATTGACACATGGGGGGGACGCAGCAGGGGAAACACGGGAATTTATTTTGCTTCATCATGTGTGTTTATAAAGTTCTTTCTTGCTTTCTCAGTAAGGTAGATTATTTGAAAATAAAAAATCATACAAGTAATTGGGAAAAAATAAAAATTTAACTTAAAAAGAGGCTATCAGATGATCTCTGAGGTTCCTTCCAGTTCTACAGTTCTGATCCTACAATATCATTGGCTAACTACACATCCCCCATTCTATACTACTGTGGTTGATTTTGGAACCCAAGGCTAAGATCTGACATTTATTTATAGCCATGGAATTTCATCTGATTAGACTTGGCTCATTTTCCTGTTATATTTTTTTCATCCTGTCATCCAGAATATTAGCTACCTCTCCCAGCCTTGTGTCATCCATCTGCAAGGGTAAAAATACTGTTACTTTATTTATGAAAAAAATGTAGGTCCCTGAGGCCCTCCAGTGGAGACCCACCCCCTGCCTGTTGACATTCAACCGCCAATCCTGATTTGGGTCCAATCATTCAATCCACTCTGAATTCGCCTAACTGGATGACCACCTGGCCACCATCTTTCCCTCTTGACCACCAGGACAGCATGACTTCACTGCTAGCTCCAAACCCAAGGTTCTCTCCACAGTGCCATGCTCTGTTCCTTCCTATTTTAGGCCTCATCTCCAGGGTTCTCTTCACCAAACCTTTAACTACTCGGCATTGCTGGCCGAGCTGGGTGACACAGAGAACAACGGGAACCCGGGTAGGAGGACCGTGCTGGGATCAGCCATTCAAGGGCATCAGGTAGGCAGTGGCCATGGACAGCGGAGTCAGGGTTAGGTTTGAGCTAGAGAGCTCGGCTTGGGGTCTGTGCTCCTCTCCTCCAAGTCTGGGATCTAGTTCTATCTCATGCGGTGGCCTGATAGAAAGAAAGGTATAGTGAGGAGAGCCTGGGAGTCACACAGCCAGCTTTGCTCACGACCAGCTGAGCGTACCATGTTAAGTCCCAACCACCGGGGCCTACTGCCTTCTCTATAAAGTGACAGTTGGACCAGACGATCTAAACCCAATCACAAGACCACAGACCCAGAGCTGGGACCTCAGGGATCATCCAGTCTACCCTTTCATTTCACAGACAAAGAAACTGAGTTGCAGAGAGGTCAGTAACCTGCCCAAGGCCGCAGAGGGAGGAAGTGGCAAAACAAGGACTCAAACTGCAGTCCCAAGGCTCCAAGGTCAGTGGCAAAGTGCAGCGCTTTTCTAAGGACTTTCCCCAACAGAAATCTTAGGAGGCATCTTGGGAGTGGGGGCTTGTGGGTTACAAGTGAGATGACGGGGGAGACTTTCACTGTTAGGTTTCCCTTGAAAAGGGAGGTCTGATAAACAAATTGTGAGATGCAAATCAAATGTAATATTACTGTGCCATGAGAAATGACAAATCTGAATTCCCAGAAGTAGGGAAAAACTGGTATTATTGACTGATGCTGAGTGAGGTAAGTAGAACCAGGAAAATATCATCTACACTACAACAACGTAGAAGAACAGAACCCAAAACCAGACACTGACCTATTCAAAGTAAAGGCTGAGGTAGATTAACAGACCAGACTAGATAACACAGACTCAAACAGCGGAATTCAGCAACTCAAGCGTTCAGTTAACCTGAAAATACAAATTCCCCCTATGTGAGAACTGCTGGGAAAACTACAGAGCAATCTGGCAGAAATCAGGCACAGGCCAAAATCTTACACCACCCTCCCCAATACATTCTAAATGGAAACGTCACCTTAGTATTAGGGATCATATTAAAAAATCAGAAGGGAAACAGATCGCGTACCTTTCCCAGCTACTGGTAGATGAATTTTTAACCAAACAGAAGATAGAGGCAATTACAAAAGACAAGGTAGATTACTTTGGTCTGAAAGTGAAATGCTTCTGAAAAAACAAAACTAATGTACCTAGAAGAAAGAAGAAAAGCAGTGAAGTGGGGGGAGGGGCTTTATACCAAATTTTTTTTTTGATAAGCATTTTTTATCTTTTATGTAATTAGTGCATAAATATAACCAAAAGCTGTCCCCCAAAAGACAGGTAATCAGAAGATGTGAACAGTTTTCAGAAAGATTGCCAGTCCTCAACAACCACAAGTAAGAACGCTCTGAATCATGACAAGAGAAATGCAAATCAAACAACCCGAAGTTTTACTTCACACCCAGAAAACCGGAAGAAAGGTGGAAGATGGGAAAGGTCAAGGCTGAGGAGTTAGGGGAGACAAGCACACTAGGCCACTGGCCGAGCTGTGGATCCGTATAATCACCCTGGAAAATAACGGAGACTTCTACAACTACAGTGACGGAAACGTTCACCCTTGACCCAGAGATTCCGCTCCTACGTTTTATTCATAAGGCCGTCAACAATAAGAAAAATCCCCATGAACACCAAGATGTTTACAGCAGCACTTTCTGTGACGGCTAAGATTTGGAAACAAAGGAGAGGCCCATCAAATGGGGACCGGCTAAAGGAATTCTCTTAAATGTATGGGAATGGAATGGACTGTGACCGTGCTGTAGGAAACGTGGGTGGATCAATGCCGAGAAGCCCGGGAAGATCTGAATGAACTGATGCGGAGGGAAGCGGCAGGGCCTGGAAGATAATCGACCCAGCGACCACGGCGTAAATGGAAAGGACCACAAACAGTCCAAAGTGAAGGCTGCAAAATCACAAACAAGACCCCAGTGGGGTGTGGGAGGGGAGACCCCGGGGGAGGCAGGTTCTCAGCTCAATTACTCTGCCTTTTTCCTCTTCTTCTTGTCTTTAAAAAGTTCTCTGTTAAAAGAATGGCTCTCTGGAGGGGAAGGGATGCTAGGGAAGCTCTGGTGACACAAGACACATGAAGGACACTTAAACATTTAAAAACAAGCCATGGCCACGCTGGGTCCTGAGAGTGGAGGAAACGTGGCTCCCTCCTTCCGCGACACAGTCAGAGGGTGCTGGCTCTCCTGAGACGCTTCTGATTAACAAAGGAGAGCTCCACGGGGAGGCGAATGGGAAATGAAGGCAAAAGGCATCAATAAAAACTTTTTTTTTTAGAGATGTGCTCTGGCCCCTGGGGGCAGGCTGTTGTTGCGGGGGTGTGGTCAGCAGATGGAGCCCTAACAAACATTCCAATCTGGAAAGAGAGGCAGGTACAGTGAGGGAAAGGGGCAGGACTGCACCTGGTCTAGAGCTGCCTCTGCAAGGAGGCCCGCCCCAGGTCTGGGCGGCAGCGGGGGAGCGTGGGAGGAAGCAGGGCAGGCACCAGGTGGGGAGAGGAGAGGTCAGTTTAAGGGGGTTTGTGGCCTTGAATTTCCAGCCTCCCTCACTTAGCCCAGAAGGGGCAGTCACTGAAAAGTCACAATCCAGCTTTCTCTTTATTAAAGTACAGGATTCCCAACCCCCCTCCCCGGACCCCGACCCCCAGCCTCAGCCCAAGGCACCAGAGCCCCAGAGCACAAGCAGAGGGGCAGGGAGAGCTTAATAAATAAGGGGCACCCCTGAGTGTGAGGTCTGGTCACCCCCCTACCACAGTGGAACCTTGGGGGGCTGGCCCACTTTCAGAGCAGAGGGGGAAAGCTAAGCGAAGCTGCCTCCCCCACCCTCCCAGAAGCAAGGAGGCTGGGAAAGGCAGCCCTGGCCCCAGCAGAGGAGGGGTCTGGCCTCTACTGACCCCCCCACTCCAGCCAGGAAGGATTAGAAACCGGAAGGGGGGTGGCCAGATTAGGGCAGAGAGAAGGGAAGGGGCCCCTCCCTGAGTAAAGTTCAGGAGATTCAAAGGGGGACCACGGCACGGCCCCACACCCACCCTCACCCTTGGGGACGGGTCTTTTCTCTCCTTCCTTCTCCCCCCCCCCAGCTGGGGAGGAGACACTGAATGGGTAATGACTAGGGGCCCAGGGGGATGCCACAGCCTGGCAGTGGGGGAAACTGAGGCTGGGCCCCTCAGCTGGCCTGGGACAGAGGCAGAGATGAGACGTCAGCCCCCACACCAGCAGTTCTTTATGAGTTGCCTTGGGCAGCGGGCCCATGTCTCCCCTCCAGGCCTCCCAGCCCTCACCAGCCCTGCACCCCACCTGGGGGCGTGGGGGTCACTCGGGCATGTCAATGAGCTTCTCCCCATTCTCCTCTTGGCAGCCTCGTGGCCCCTGGGGCTCCCCCGCAGCGGCAGCCCCCCCCTCCTCATCCTCATCCTCGGTGTAGAGGTCCTTCTGGCCGTAGGCCAGGGTGGTCCGGGCCAGGTCCACCTCGATGGGGAAGACGTCCGCGTCCCGCAAGGCGGCATAGCAGTCGTCATAGTACTTGGACATGGTGGAGACGAAGCGCTGCAGCTGGAACACGATGTCCTGGACTGGGGGGCCGGGGAGGGGAAGGGGGCAGGGTCAGCTTCCTGATGGCCGTCCCGCCTTCCCTTCCCGCCCACCAGTCCTGGGACAGAGGCAGAGGCTCCCAGCAGCCACGTGCCCAAGGTCACCCCCAACCCAACAGGGCCCAGGGGCTGGCTGAGGGTCCATCTGCGGCCCGAACAAGGCCAGTGACCTGCCCAGGGGCTCCGACTTCAAGCCAGGGTGCTCTGTTTGCTCTGCACCATCCTATCTTGTCCACCACTGCCTGAACAACTCTACAGATGGGGAACTCACTACCTGACAGGCTGCCCCGCTCCCTCATGAGGCAGCTTTAACTGGCACAGAGCCTTCCCGACTGTCCTTGGCTCTAACACCTGGGGACCTTTGGGCCCCACCCACCTCCCCCATCCCATTCACCGTGTTTCTGGTCCAACAGCTCGATCTTCTCCAGCACATCCTTCCTCATTTTGGCAAAACGTGACCGGGCCTCCTGGCGGCATCGCAGAATGAGGCGGTACTCATAGTTGCCAGTGCTTACGCGGTACAGGGGCTCCCCAAGAGCCTGCGGAGGCGACGGGTGCGAGGGGAAGACAGGTCAGGGAGTGCAGAACAAGGAGGACACATGGGGGCCCAGGACGGGGGACAGCAGTGAGGGCACAGTCAGAGGGGAGGCTGTGGGCCAGGTCCTGTGGCTACCCTGGTCAGTGACTCTTTCCACTGTCCACCAAAGCCGTCAGGACCCGTGTGCCCCCGACCTCATGAAGCCCCTCCCATCTGGGATCCTGGACCTCAGAGCCCCTCCTGTGGTGGGCAGGGAGGCCGCCCATGATCTCTTTAAGCGTCTCGCGCCCACCCTCAGCATGCTGTGGGCAGGACAGGCCGGGCCAGGCATCCTACAGAGGAGCGCAAGGTCCAGGGGACAGTGCCAGGGGGGCCCCGCATTTTACCGAGGGGAGATGGAGCCCAAAGCAGGGAAGAGACCTGCCCGAGGTCATCTGGGCAAGGCCCAGGCTCCATGCCAGCCTGGGAGGCAGTGCGGGGCAGCCATGGTGGAGACTGGGAAAGATCGAGGGAGTGGACACAGGGGGTGGACACACGGGGGTGGGGGGGTTGCGCCGTCCAGGCACTCACAATGCAGCTATACTCCTCGTCATCCATCTCTTTCACCTTCAGGCAGTAAGACTGCAAGGGAAAGAAGCCAAGGGCAGGGGTGAGGGGCACGCCCGCACCCTCCGGAGGCCCCAGGGCAGAGGAGGGCAGGTTTGGGGTCAGTGCTGAGCAAGAGCTTCTGCAGAGCTGTGGCTCACACAAGGTGCTCCAGTAAATGTCTGCTTCCAGAGCGCTGGACAGCCCAGGGCAAAGCCAGCTACAAGGAGCCTGAGAGACTGTCTGCTCCGACTCTGGCCTCTCCAGGATGGGCAGACCAGGCCCAGACTGTGGAAGTCACAAAAGGCTAACGCCCGGGCTCGCCTTTCCTGGCCCCTCCCAGTTACAGTCTGGGTTCCAGGCCCCTGGGGGGGGGGAAGCGCTGCCCTGGCACTGGGGGGTGGGCAATGAGCTAGGCCCAGTGAAGGTGCCAGCCACTGCCAGGTGCTCTTGGGCTACTCTTGGCCCTGGGGTCTGTGTGCTGGCACAGGGGCCACCGCGTGACCCCTCACCAGGAGCCTGGTCCCCAGCACAGGCGTGGTCTGTCCCGGGCCAACCCTCCGGGGTCCCCTTTCACAGAGCCCTGGGTCACGTGTTTCACGTCACTCACCAGGTACTCAAACTTCACATCCAGGTATTTCTTAATGGTGAGGCGGGTGTCAGGGATGGCTTTGTTGAGGTACGTGTTCAGATCTGTCAGCATCTGCAGGGGATCAGGGGCCTTGTGTAAGCAGCAGATCCTGTCAGACCCGACTAAGGGCAGGGGGCCTGAGGCCTGGGGTCACACCCTGTGATTGTATTCATCTGTGCAGGCAACTCCCAGGTTTCCAGAGCTGCCCAGGGCCCACAGAGGTCAAGGGTGACCCTGGCTGGAGGCTGGACGGGAGGTTTTCAACATTCACTTCCACAAGATTCTGAGTTCCAAATTTTCTCCCCATTTCATCCCTCTCCCCACTCCAAGATGGCGTGCATTCTGAATGCCCCTTCCCCTGATCTGCCCTCCCTTCTATCTCTCCCCTCTTCTCCTATCCCCTTCCCCTTCTATTTTCCTGTAGGGCCAGATAGATTTCTGTACCCCATTGCCTATACATCTTATTTCCCAGTTGCACATGCAAACAATTTTTAACATTTGTTTTTAAAACTTTGGGTTCCTAATTTTCTCCCTTACTCCCACCCCCACCCTCATTGAGAAGACAAGCCACTCAATACAGGTTATACGTCTGTAGTCATGCCAAACACTTCCACAGTGGTCTTTCCAACCTCTAGTCTCAAGATGTCCCCAGAGCACAAGGGGTCAACCTGCCCGAGATCACTCCCTGGAGTTATCAAAAGCAGGATTCCCACCCAGGGCTTCCTGACTCCTGCTAATCCCCCAGAGGAGCATTCCCCACTTTTCAAAGCACTGTCCTCCCAGAGACACTGCATGGGGAGAAGGGTCAGGGAGATCACCTCCCTCAGACAGAGAGGGGGGCTGAGGCTCAGAGAAGCAAAGCAGGCTCATCAATCTGCCAGTCAAGGAGCACCTCGGGGGCTCCTGGCCAGGGTGAAGTCAGGGCTGCCTCAAGGAGGGCCCCGAGGCTTCTGCTCCCTCTTCTGCCCCAGGGCAGGACTCACACAACAGGCACCCACTGGCTCGGTCCCCCCAGCCCTCCTCCGGGTCATCACGACATGCAGGGGATCCCTGGCGCCCCCACACTGACACACACAGACACATACACACACACATTTACTCACTACCCCCCCCCAGACATACACACAGACACACACACACAGACACAATTCACTTACTATCCCCCACAGACAGACAGAGACAGACACAGACACAGACACACACACACACACACACACACAGACACACACACACCCACCCACCACACTCCACACCCCCCAAGTCAGGCCAAACCTACGGGTTTGATGGTTTTCAAGAGCCGGATCCCAAACTTCTCGATATTACGGTGGGCTTCTGCAAACTTCACAAAGGCCTCGCTGGCTGCTGGCTGGGGCTCGCGGACCCCAATCACTGAGAAGACGTCTCCAAAGGCTGCATGACAGGGATGCCGTGATGGAGCCCCCTCCCGGGACCCCTGGGAGAGAGCATGGCAGAGGGAGGGGGTGGGGGTGGTAAAAGCAGGCCCCTTGCCCCCCAGGGCTGGGTCAGCTAACATCAGTGCGGGGACCAAGAAAGCAGGGCCAAGCATCTGGCATTAATTGGGGATGGAGGATGCGGGCGCTTCCTAAACACCCGCTGCTGACTGGGCACCTAAGCTGGCGTGACCAGGGCTGTGCAACACTAGGATCCCCCACGTCCCCCAGACCGTGGGAGGCGCCCCTCCATCCTCACCTCGGTGCGTCTGGGACAAGTCAAAGAAGGCTCGCAGAAGGCTCTTGGTGTGCTCGGTCATACCTGGCAAAGGACAAGGAACACTACCCCTCACATGCTGTGCAGCCCCTCCCCTCACACACACACTACCCAGAAGCCTCCAGCCATCCCCAGCAGTCACAATCTGATCAGAGGCCAGGGGAAGAGGGGCACCAGAGCCTCTCCCAGGCCCGCTGTCCTACTGTGGCAGAAGCCAGGAAGGGGAGCACGGCGCTCAGACAGGGGAAGCCAACCGGACACTCATGGGGGGGAAGTTGGGGCATTCTGGCTTCACAAGCCCAGAGCTGAAGGCCAGGTGTGACCAAGGCACCAGGCCCGTAGAGTGGAGCTCCATGCACCGAGAGCAGGAAACCACCTCAGGGGCCGTCACAGAGGAGGAAGCCGCGGCCCAGGGGAGGGAGTCAGAGGCAGCATTGAACTTCCCTGCGTAGAACCCTTTCCTCACTCCCTGCTTGGGAGGAAGGCGGCTTTCCAGCGCGATGTCCCCGGCTTCCAGGATCAATGCCAGGTCCTGCACAGACACTGGGCTCTCTACCAGATTTTCTTCACTAGTCCCAGTGTATGTGGCCCCAGCAAGGGTATTTTTACTCGAGTAAAGGATCTCCAAGGATCCCTCGTCAACACGCACAGACATCCTTTGTTACGTGTGTAACTCTCCTTTCCCGCCTAAGTCAGCACCCATTCTCCTAAGATTCAACATACAGGCGGAGACAAAAGGAAATGGAGAGCAAGGACCTGGCCACGGCCACCCCGTGAGCAGACCCCGATATGGGGCCTCCTCGCACCTCTCACTAACCCACCGGGAAGGGGGCAAGAGAGGGCGTTGCGCCCAAAAGGGCTAAAGGCTAGTCCTCAGTGCGGCCTTTGGACTGAGTCCAAGGTTGACAGAGCAAATCCTTCTGTGAAGGGGATCCGTGTGGCCGCAGACTCCCCACCCCCACTGCCCAGGGACTCACCACCTGCAGGGAGCCCTCCTGGACTATGCCCAACCACGAGCCACAGCTCAGTTTTCTATGCAGCTTTACCTTAACAGAGCACAGAAGAGAAAACTGAGGCCCTGACAAGGGAAGTGCCTTGCCCAAGGTCACCAGCAGCGAGTGCTGGAGACTGCGTTAACCTCTGCCTTGTGGCCCCACGTCCGGCAGCCCCAGGACAGAGGGCCGGGCAGCGATCAGTGAGGGGGTCAGCTGGCCAGGGCACTCACCTTTGTACAGCTCGGCCGTCCGCTCCAGCTCTTCTAGCCTCTTCACCAGACCATCTGAGGAAAGAGAGCCCGGCAGGGCCGTCAGCCCAAGCCCAGCATCGCGGGCAGACGTGGGCAGGGGCCCCACATTCAGGGCCAGCTTCCTGCTTGCACTGGTCTCCCTATGTGCAGCCTCTCCCCTCCCCCACTGTCCTCGGCACAGCGGTCAAACGGAGGCCCCCAAAGGAAGCAGGGGCAGGACCACATCGCTCCCCTGCTCAAGAACTCCCCAGGGCTCCCTCTTGCCTCTAGGCTAAGACACAAAGGCCTCATTCTAAGCATGGCCCACTCTGGGTCCAGTCCATGCTTCCAAACTCCAAATTCCACATCATTCTCCCCTTTCACCAAAGCTCGGCTCAGCTGGAAAGGCTGGCCTGCCTTTCCCTGCCCACGCTGCTGCCTCTTCCTCCTCACTCCACACCTTGGACCCTCAGCTCTCTTCAAGGGCCTGCTCCTTCAGGAGGCTTCTCCTGATTCCCCTGGATATCTGTTGCCCCACCCCAAATCAATCCTCATCTCTTCTGTACATAAGCTCACTGGAAGTGGGGCAGGCCAATTTCCCTTTTGCTTTTGTCCCCTGGCACACAGTAGGTGCTTAGTGAACACCTGCAGGGTGACAGGTAATGCAGTAGAGGGAGAGGGCCTGGCTTCAACTTGACTCCTCACTCCCTGTGTGACCTGCGCCTCAGTTTCCTCCTCTGTGGTTTCCTCCAGAGGCTGGGGCAGGGCTCGTGCTCCCTGACTGTCTGCATGCAGCGCGCCCTCAGGCTCTGGGCTCACGGGGTCTCACTCCGTCCTGGGCCTCCTGGGCCTCGGGGACCTCACAGAGGCAGCAGCTGCCCTGATGCCCCCCCCATCCCCGGCCTCGGTCTCCCCGGCAGCGTGAAACGAGGGATGGGAGGGCAGGACGAACGCCACGGCCTGGAGCCACGAAAGCGCCTCAAGGCTGTTTTTAGCTCTGCTGGGTCATGGGACATCATGACAGCCTCCTTTTAGAAGCTCTATTTTGGGGGGGCAGGCAGAGGGGGAAGAATTGGCAAGTTTAAAAAAAAACAACAAAAACCAGCCCACAACAACCAGTTCTAATTTTGCCCCAACTCCACGGTAACTACAGCAACGAGGATTTATAGCCAGAAGAGGTAAAAATAGCAGCATCCCGTTTAGACGGCATCTGGCACAGGCTCCGTCGCCAGCCCGTCCACGAAAGCCGAGCGTCTCTGGCCAGCTGAGCCTCTCACCGCCGCGTGTATTTATAGCAGGGCCCACCCTGCCACGGACAGACCTGCGCCGGGCTATGTATAACTCAGGCTGGGGATGGTGGGCGGCGGCCACGCCGTCTCACTGGGTACACTTGAGATTTTATATAGACATAGATGAGAGAAAGAGAGACAGAGGCCACAAGAGAGGAGAGAAACAGAGAGAAAGACAGAGACAGAGGCCAAGAGAGAAGAAAGAAAGGAACACAGGAACAGAAACACAGAGAGAAAAAAACAACAGAGGCTGAGAGGAAAGAAACAGAGAAACAGGGAGAGAAAAAGAGAGATAGGGACAAAGAGAGACAGAGTCCGAGGAGAAAGAGAAACAGAGAGAAAGACAGAGACAGAGGCCAAGAGAAGAAAGAAAGAAACAGAGAAACAGAAACACAGAGAGAAAAAACGGCTGAGAGGAAAGAAACAGAGAAACAGGGAGAGAAAAAGAGAGACAGAGACCAAGTGAGAGGAGAGAAAGAAAGAAAGAGAGACAGAAATTCACAGAGACAGACAGACAGAGTGAGTGGGAGTGATGGTCGCCCCCTCCCCCCTGGGGGTGGACAGATGTGGGCCCAGCTGGGGCTCCAGCATCATCAGGCCAAGGCTCGAGAGCCCAGGGTCTTAGGGAAGGACCAGGGAGACCCCAGGCTGCACAGACTCCAGCTCCTTCTCGTCCACCCCACAGGTGAGCCTGACAAGATCCCAAGGAAACACGAGTTTGTAAGATGATTTATGCACATTATCTCAGCTGAACCTTTCACAACCTTGGGAAGTCAAGTACAAGACACAGTAGCGATGATAAAATAGGCTCAGAGGACAAGGGACTGACTCGGGATCCTCCATCTAAGGCCAGAGAGGAGGAGACTGAGACACAGAGGAGTTGCGCCTGGCCCACGGTCACCCAAGAAGGCCATGAGTCCTGGCCCAGGTCCAGACGCCAAGCCAGGAAGGGTCAGAGGCAAGGATCTGAACCCAGGCCTCTGTGCCCCCGGGTCCACAGCTCACCATTGCACAGGATGGCCCGGCTCAGGCCCAGAGCGTCCGCTGTGCCCGAGCTCATGTTCTCCACCAGCCGGTGTTTCACCTTCTTCAACACTAGAGATAGGAAGGAGGTGATTAGCACTTGGTGGCCCATCCCCCCCAATCCGGACCGGGGGGGGGGGGGGGGGGCGCGGCACCTGAGGGACAGAGAAGGACACAGGCCCCCCAGGGAGTGACTTGCCCAAAGTCACACAACTGAGAAGAGGCAGAGCTGGGACTCCGGGCCAGGCACCCCGCTCCGCAACAGCGCAGGGCATGGGCACCAGGCTCTGGAGTTGCCAACTGGCCAGGTCAGACCTCACCTATGCAGTCCAAAGACCCGAGTTCAAGTCCCAGCTCTGCCCTAACTCACAGGGATGGTCTTGGATAAGACCCCTGCCCTTTGAGATTTTCATCTCCTCATCTGTCAAACCTCTCCCAGGTCTGCTATTCCCTCATTCCCATGTAGCCATCAAGGCCAAGGGCTTTGGGGAGGGGACGGGCTCCACCACAAGGTCTGCTCCCCAACTAGCCCCGCCCTGGGCAGCCGGGAAGGCTGAGGCCACGGCTGGTCAGGGAAGGGACCGCCGCCAGGCTGGCCTGGAGCTGACGCCGGAACCATCTGAAGGGGCCTGGGACTTCAGGCTGGGCCAGAAGTCAGAGGCCTCAAGAATAACCAACTAGGGGGAGGGCAAAACGGGGGCTACACTAGAGTATTTCAAATTTGGGGACTGGGATCGCTAGAAGAAAGGGGACAAGGGAGTCTGCCCAGGGAGCACTGAGGCAGGAGGAGTCACACTCCGAGAGGGAGGGTGCCCATCCTTCCTCCCCAGGCAGCTTCAGAACTGTGAGCGTGCCCAGGGGAGCTCAGGGATGGTCTGGGAAGGGCACAAGCAACACGGCTGGGGGCTATTTCTGTTTCCTGCTCTTGACCCTCGGCGTGGGTCACTGGAGTGAGAAGAGGAGTGGGCCGCTCACCAATGTCCAAGGACTTGCCCTGCTTAGGGTCGGCTTGGAGCTTGTTGTAATGAATCGTCACTTCACCCTGGGAAGAGCAAGACGGAGGGCCGGGTCACGGGCCTGCGCGTGCCACATCTCTGCGCCGCCCCCGCAGGGCTGCTGCACGTCCGCCTGGTTGGGGTCAGACCGGGAGCTCCCGGGGCGCGGCACTGGGCTGCCTGCCTCTCCTCGTATCCTCAGTGTTAGCATGGTGCCCCGCACACAAGAGGGGCTTTGTCAATGCTCCCTGCCTTCCCTGGATTCTGGGGCGGGTCATTCTACATGCCAGCCCTTCAGACGCTGGAAAAGGGCCCTCAGGCCACCCCCCACCTTCTCTTCTCTGCTCCAAGCTACACACGCTCAGTCAGGCCCTCGTTTCCTTGGTTTCGCATCTCAGGAAGGTGGAAAATCTGTGAAATGGGAATGGTGCTTCCTCCCGGCACCAAGAGCTACTGTGTGCGAGGGAAGGTGAACAGAGGACTCAGGAGCCCCTTGGGAAGACGGGGTGGAGGCGGGGGGAGGGAGCTGAGAGAGACTGCAGTAAGAACCCTTGGTCAACCCCCCAAAGAAGGGGTGCCTGCTTCAGGGATGGCAGGGAAGGGGAAGACACATTGTAACCTATTCTGGGGGGTTCCCCCACCCACCACCCTTGGTCAAGAAGCAACTGTTCAACCAGCGAGCATTTATTAACCACCTACTACATTCCTGGCATACAGAAGCACTTAAATGCTTACTGATGATTTGGTATGGAGAAAAAAATAAAACAATCCCTGCCCTCAAGGAGCTTGCGACCTACCCAAAGGAGGAAAGGTAACAGAGGAGCCAGGGGACCGGTGTCTAGGCTGTACAGACAAAGGGACGCTCCAGGACAGGGGCGCAGAACCCCTCTAGGTCCTCAGGCTCCCTCCCCAACTCTGGGGCTCTCCAGCGAGCCTCGGGCAGCCTCCTCTCCCGCTCCCTAGGCAGGAGCGAGCTCCTGAGGACCACGAGTACATTCTCATCTCTTTCCGTGCTGCTGATCTCCCCTCGCCCGTGCCCAAACTCCAGCGGCGAAGACCCGATCAACATTCGCTGGTCGCTGGCCGATCTCAGGCCAGCTGCGCTGGTCATCCCTGGAAGCCATAGGCTGAGGGCTCTGTGTGGCGTGTCCCCAGGCGGGCGCCGCTCGGGCCTGACGCCTGGACCCCGGCCCTTCCTTACCTTCACGACCTGGATCATCTTGGCCACCTCCACCTTGGTCTTCCCCTTGACCGATCTGCCATTGACACCGGTGATCTCATCGCCAGCCGCGACAGTGCCGTCGATGGCTGCAGGGGTGTTATCGAAAACCTGAGGAGGAGGGGGACGATGGCCACTCTCTGTCGTGGCACTTCAAGCAGCTCTGCGCCGCTCCCCCCGCCTCCCGTGGCTCTGGGAGAGCCCCCTGCCCAGTGAGTGCCAGACAGAGCCTCAGAACGCCAGGCACTAAGGAAGGGAGTTAAGCAAGATCAAGTTCAAAAGGGAGAAAGGTCAAATCCTGCCTCTGCGTCCCCAAAGTCACCGTCACCCGTGTCCCGGGACGGGGGCGGCTGGGGCAGGCAGCCATTTGGGCGACAAAGACGGGGGAGTTTTTGTAGTGGGCTGCAAGCTCGAGATAAGATGAAAGCACACAAAAACAGAGACACAAGAGTAGCGAATAAAGGCTAACACTTATACAGTGACCACTGCATGCCAGCCAAGTGACCTGCAACCACCATCTCACAGGCTCCTCACACAACAACGGGGGGGGGGGGTCCCATTTTACAGAAAGGGAAACTGAGGCAGGCAGCAGTGAAGGGCTTTGCCGAGGGTCACACAGCTCATCAGGGTCCAAGGCAGGATTTGAACTCAGGTGTCGCTGACTCCAGGCCCTGACGCTCTACCCCCTACCTGCCAATAGCTACAAGTGGAGGGGTATAGAACCTGGCCCAGGACCAGGAAGGGAGAGCTTGATTTGAGCCCTCCTGAGGCCACAATGCGTTCACTTCCAGGTGCCACATTTCAAGGACACTGAAAATCCAGAGACCAGTTACCACATCGGCAAAGGGTATGGGCCGTGTGAGGCGTGGCAAAAGGAGCCAAGGACACTTCTACTTTGGAAAAGGGGAGGCCTGGGGGTGGGAGGGAAGACTGGCCATCTGCAAGTACGTGATGGGGAGTCGTGGGACAGAGCGATGAGACTGGCCTTGCCTATGGAAGGTAGGACACCCCCCCCCCCCGCAAAGAGGTGGCAGCCACGGGGCAGGGGCAGGCCTGTCTGCAGGGGGGCGAGGGGAGCGCTGCCTCCCTGAGGGCTGGAAGGGCAGCAGCCCCTTCTCACGCCCCTCTGATACCCTCATCTCCTCTCCCTGAAGCCTCACTCCTCACCAAGGAGGGTCACTGCAGCGCTGACGGCTACAATCAGGAGGAGCTAACATCGGCCTTCTGTTCTCTCAGCTAACTGTCTTCCATTTCTGCCTCTGAATTCTGTCCCCTGTCCCTTCTGGACACAATGTCCTTCCCAAAACCTCATCATCTCGCGGCTTTGGCCTGTGAGCTGTCATCATGCCTCTGCTTCCAGGCCACCCGGCCTCACGCCATCTACCACCCTCATCCCTGGGCTGCTCCTCCCACCCGCCATCACCACTTTCCACCTCTGCCTCCAAGAACAGCCACCGCGTCAGCACCACCAACGCTCCGTGATTCCCCCCGCACGTGAGCTCCTTCCTCAAGGCCACGGCCTGTTTTGCTTAGAGCACCGGCCCAGTGGGTGGCATTTACTAAGTGCTGAAGAAATGCCTTTTCACTCATTCATTCCTGCCATCTGACCAAGGCCAAAGCCAGTGGGAGCACACCCGTCCTCCTGGGCTTCTTCTGTATGATCTAATAACAAATCGGCTTTGGAGGGCAGTCCCCTCACACTACTGTGGCTGGTAATGAGCTCGCAGGACAGTAAGATTCCCCAGTCCTGGCACTGTAAAGTAGACTATTTGGACCCCGGGTGTACAGCTTTCCGTCTGTCCGGACTATCCGTCACATGGTTCGTGTCAGCCAATTCTGCAGGCCTATGACAGCTTTGGGGCCACCAGCCACACCACTAAGGATCCCAGAAGCCCCCACCCTTCCACAATATCCCCCATCATCCGGCCCCTCCCTTCTTCCAGGCATTCAGGTTTTGCCGTCTATGAATCTGACCAGCATGTCCTCTGTGCCTTCATCCAAACCACTGATTCACCATGCTGCCCATCGTATCCCCAAGGGCAGACGCCTGTGGCACGTCACGAGAAACCTTCCTCAAGGGGAGGCATCTGCCAGCATGTGGCCTTGGTCAGGGGATGGACAAGGGGAGAGGGTATGGATGACCCACCGTCAATCTGTCTCTACTCCTGGAACAACTCCAGGTCTACGGGTCCCAAAGGTAACCTCATACGTGATGTAGCATCATTTCCTGGTTTAGTGCTTACAAAATGCTTGGGGGGGATTGGGAATCTTAGGCAGGAAAAAGGTCCTGAGCAATAAAGAATCATTCCCAATCATTCCTGAATGAGCCCTTCCTCATGGCTGCCCTCCTTTTAGGGGACCCCAAGAAGCCTCCCTCTCTCCCTACTCCCAAGCCCCCATACCTGGACAATGTAGAGGCAGGGGCAGTACAAAGCCCCTCCCCCAATGCTGATCCCGATCAGGTTCTGTGAATCCTTCTGCAGCGTCACGGTCCCAGGAACTGTGGGGATGCCGCTAGAGCACAGGAAAGGAGAAGGGGGTAAGGGCAGGAAGGAGCCAGAAGACAAAGGGTAAGGAAGAATCCGCCAAAGCCACGGGCACCTGACAGCAGAGGAGAGGAAGGAGGGGGGCACAGGGGAGGCCACTGGAGAGAGTCCCCCTGCCCAGAACATCCTCCCTTCTAACCCAAATCCTAGACCATGTCTTCCAAGAAGACCGTGAGGACAGCACCACACAGCTCTACAAGGAGGCTCAGGTGACAAAGGGCTTTCCTATCTCCCAGGTCACGGGACCGACACAGGTGAGGCAAGGATTTAGTTAGCCCCATTTCAGAGATGAAAAAGCCAAGGTCTAGAGAGGAAAATTGGCCTATGTGTGCCAATGAGGGACAGGGGAGCTCGGTGCTCTTCCCCTCCCCCCACATGATGGCATCCTCTGCTTCTGGCTGGTTTCCTCACTTCCACTGACCCAGAGGCTCCTCGAAGCCTCCTATGTCACGGCCCTTATCCGTCCCGTGCGGTGCCAATTGTAAAGCAACACCACGTCTCGCTCGCTACCAGACCAAAGCAAGTGGCAGGCAGTGGTGGAGGAGCACCAGTACAACACACTAGAATGAGCTCTGAGCCGGGGCGTCAGGACCTCTGGCTTCTGGTTTTCCCTCTGACTCTTCCCAGGCGGTCTTGGGTCACTTCTGTACTTCTGAACCTCAGAGCCCCCCCTGAAATGGAGGCGATCCCCTTGGGCCACCCGCCTCAACAAGCTGTTGTGAGTAAAAGACTTTGCTAATCTTAGAATCCCATGGTGATGCGAGATGCTATTACGATTCATCTTTGTACCCTCTGACCCTCCAGCCCAGAGTAAGTGCTGAGTGAATGCTTGATGAGGGCTGGCAGCTAGCAATCGATCAATCAATCACCAGGCACTGGTGAAGGGTCCGCCCTGTGCCCGGCCCTGGGCAGACAAGCCCCAAGACTGAAATGGGCCCCGGCCTCACAAAGCCTGCACTCTCACAGGGCAGACAAGGGTCTCCGTCACTGCAGAGAGGACGAGGCAGGGCACAGGCAGCTGCTGGGGGCTGGGGGAGCCCCCGGACAAGTGAGGGGGAGGACCGAGGCCATTCCAGGCAGGAGAAACAGCCCAGGGGCCTGAGTGAGGCCAGTCTGGCCACCACTGCCAGCCTTAAGCTACCACCTCCTGGTTCCACAGACCTCAAAAACCCTCGGGTCAGGGCCGGCCCTGAGCTGATAGGGACATGACAGCCACATCCCCTTCCCAGGCAGAATAATAGTAAACAATAAACAAACGCGTCTCAGGCCCGTCGGATACACCGTGCCCTATACTTGGTAACATTAAGGCCACAGAGACAGTGCCTGACTCCAAGGAGCTCAGCTTAGTTCAGGGGCTCAGACAAGATTTCGAGGATTGCTCCTGAACCCCATGAGGGATTGGAATGTGCTGAGAATCCAAGATGCTGATGGGGGAGGCAAGGGAGGAGAGGAGAGATGTTGGAATTGATGCCCTCCCCGGGAGGACTCCCTGAATCTTGGGGACAGAGGGTCTGGTCGTGGCTAAAATGCTATCTCCATCTCACAGATGAGGAAACTGAGGCTTGCAGAGGTTAAGTGACTTGCCTGGGGTCACAAACATACCTGGTGAGGGCCTGAAGGAGGATTCAAGCTCAGGTCCTCCCAACTCCAAGTCCAGCGGCCCAGGTTTCCAAACGTACTGGGTAAGGATCTGGACTCACCCGCGGATGGGGCTGGGGCCCCAGGCCTCACAGGGCCTGGATTCCAGTCCTAGCTCCTAGGCACAAGGCCTGAAGGGCCCTGGGCAAGTCACTGAATTGCTCAGTAAAATGGGGGAAACGCTTCGTGCTCTGCTCCCCTCAGAAGGTCACTTTGGGGATGTAAAAAGACAATAACAATGCAAGTTATTACTAAGGATAAAAAGGCAACCCAATCAGCAAGGGCTTTGTAAGCGCCTACTGTGTGCTGGGCTCTGAGCCCTCAGGAAGCTTCCATTCTCCGGAAACAACCCGTGCAGAGCTCGGCAGTACGACCTCTGAGGTCACAGGCCACTTCCTCGCTCGCTCCCCCTCCTCAGACCAGCAAGGGGCAGGCCTCGGTGGCACCCGCTCGGGGACGCCTGAGAGCCGGTGTTTACTCAGCTGGGCACAGCCCTCGGGGGGTATCCCGCGCCTCCAGGGGAAGGCGAATGGCTCGGCTCGGCTCACCCTAGAAGACCCTGGCTCCTCCTGGGGGCAGAGGCAGGCGCAGAGCCAGACGAGGAGCCAGGACCACTCCACGGCTGTGAGGAAGGACACTCTCCACCTCCAGAGAGAAGCTGGGAACCCTGAGCGTGCGCGGAAGCTGACTCTTCTTCCTTTCTTTATCTTTCCTACTGTGCGTGTGTTTTCTTCTGCAACATGGTTCACACGGAAACACATTTTGCACAGGTTCACAAAGATAAAGCACATATGTGTGTGTGTGTGTGTGTGTGCGTGTGTGTATATACATATATATATATATATATACATATATATATATACATACATATATATATATATACATATATATATATACATACATATATATATATATACATATATATATACATATATATATATATATACATATATATTATATATATATATTAATATATGTATATTATATATATATGGCTTACCTCCTCAAAGGTTGGGGGTGGGGTGGGAGGGACAGAAGTTGGAACTCAAACTTTCTTTCAAATGAATGTTAAAATGCTTTTTACATGTAACAGGGAAATAGTTAATGGATAAGTAAAAACATATTTTTAAAAAAAGATTTCGCGTTAGCAAAGATGATCTAGCCCTCCTCTGTTGTACCAGGAGGATGATGATGTACAGAGAAGGCGCACTCAGGAATAAGCAGCAGAGTGGGACCCCAGACTCCAAAACCGGCATTTCTGCTAAGCCAAACTGGCAAGGAGGCAGTGCAGTGCCAGGGATAAGGACGTGGGCTGGGGGAGCAGGAGGGCTTGATGGAAATTCTGCCTTGTATACACAACAGACAGGAGGGAAGGGCATGTTGGGCAGGCAGGACATGTAACCTCCTCTGAGACTTGGTTTTCTCATCTGTAATATGGGAGAAGAGGGCAGCTAGGTAGCACCACAGTGCAGAGTGCTGGGTCTGGATTCCCTAGTTCAAATCCAGCCTCAGACACTTACTAGCTGTGTGACCCTGGGCAAGTCACTTCAGCCTGCTTGCCTCAGTTTCCTCATCTGTAAAATGAGCTGGAGAAGGAGACGGCAAACCAATGCAGTACCTCTGCCAACAAAACCCCAAACGGGGTCATGAAGAGTCGGACATGACTGAACAATGACTCAACAGCAGCGGCGGGAGAGCAGCTCTCACACTACTGCTACCTCAGGCTCGTGAGGACACCGAAGCGGTCATCTTAGAGCATGACAAACAGGGGACGGGCCTGCCTCCAGCGCCCTGCCTTCCCCTTCAAGCATTCCACGCCGACGGCCACAAGGCACACTAAGGGATCTGGGAGGACCAGAGCCACGCTGGAGACAGTCTGGGGCTCTCCAGGGTCCGGGACTCGGAGACCTCAGTGGCGTCCGGACTCACAGCCTCTACCAGGAGACCCCCAAGGAGTGAGTCCCAACCTCACTCACAGGCGGCCGGCCAAACTGTCAGCCAGCCTCCCCTGACATCAAACCCGAAGGGATGTCTCTCAATCTTTCCCCCCAGCGCTGCTGGTGCTGCCCTCTGGGGCCAAACAAAACCAATCCAATGCTTCCCCTGAATAACAGGCCTTCAGACATGAAGGAAGCTGGCCTGGCTCCCGGGCCTTCTCCAGCCTGCACGTGTCCCGCTCCTTCGACCAGGCCCCTGGTGAAGCGGGCTCCGGGCCCCTCCCCACCCTGCTTGCCCCTTCTGGGTACTTCTGGTTTATCCATGCCCACCTCAAACACAGGTGCCCAGAACCCTCCATCACCTCTCAAATCCTAGAAGAAAGTGCTCTTTAGGGATACTCACAGCTTATCCTCCTCAATGTCATAATCCATGTCAGCAAACATGATTCCAAGGTTGGGGACAGGCTGGCCTCGAAGGCCGATTGTCCAGTCCTGCACGGGAAGGAGGACAAAGGTCTCAGAGAACTCAAGTGATGATGGAAGGAGGTCCTGATATTCTGTCCCTTTTCTCTCCCCTGTACCTGCTGTAGGTCCCGGCTCCTCACCCTCCCCGGAGGGCCAGGTAGGGAAGGAGGAATACCCAGATCAGCCCCTGACTGGAGAAGAGAAGTCACAGCCCCTTCCCTTCTCGTCACATCTGTATGCCTGTGGCCTATTCCAGCCCCTTCCTTCCTGCACAACTTTATTTAAGATGATTTTGAAAGGAAATGGACTTCAGAGTCACTTCTAGTGACTAGAATCCAGTCTAAAAACCCGATTTCACTGATAAGTTCAGAAATGTTAAATGACTTGTCAAGCTACAGGTAGAGGGTGGGTATCTAAGTATAGGAGGGCGCTAAGTAAGCAAAACACTTATTAGGCCCCCTACTACATGTCCAACACCAGGCACTGAAAAGTGCTGGATTTGGTATCTAGAGGCCCTGCTTTCAAATCTTCACTCTGTGATTTACTCTCTATATGACCTTACTCAAAAAGCTTTATTTGCTCTCAAGCAAATGGGAGCCTCTTATGGAAATTTGTAATATAATAATTATGTGAAAGCATTTTTTGATCACTCCCATTTCATAGATGAAGAAACAGAGGCTAAGACTTAACCAGGGCATAAGGCCATCAGAACCACGATGAAAATCTAGTGCTCTCACTAAACCTGGGGCAGGTCCTGGCTGTCCCCATCTCCCATGGCAATGACCCTTATCACCCCTCCCCCACTCTATGAACATCCCAGCATCCCCCATGTCACGATCCGAAGTGTGTCAGGGCTTCTGTCCCTGGCACCCCTCCAGGCCCGGAGCTAGGGAATGGCTCACGATGCAAAGAACGTTCATTAAGTGCCTGTAGCGCGCACAGCACTGTGCTAGGCCTTTGGGGAGAAACCAAGTTTTGTAAATGGGGGAGGGGAGAGGGATAAGCGTCTTATCTAGCACCTACGACCGTGCCAGGCACTGCGCTCGCCTTCCGAGGGAAGTGCCACTGTTATCCCCACTGCACAGTAGAGGAAACTCAGGCAGAAGTTAAGACAGCCTGTGAGGCTGGATTTGAACTTGGGTCCAGGAAGTATTCACTTCCCCACCCCGCCCAAACTGCCACACCCACCCTCCCAACCTCAGGGTGGGTGTCAGAGGACTGAAGAAGGTGGGTCTCAGAATCTGTGCCCCCTCCTTCAGCCCCGCCCAACCATCCCAGGTCCTCACCCCTCTCAGCTCCTGCCCTCAATTCCTAAGCCCCGCCCCCTAAGTCCCCGCCCCTGCAAGTTTCTCCCCCGGGTGCTATAGCTCCTTCCTCCCTCTCCCCATCAATCACTTGGCCCGGCCCCTCACTAAAGCCCCACCCAGTAACCCCTCCCTTCCGGCTACAAGCCCCGCCCCTGCTCGCGCCTTACGTTCTAACCCTCATCTGCCACTGCATGGACGCCCCGCCCCCTCGCTCTCAAGTCCCGCCCCCCTATTTCCCCTTTTCTTACCACGTCGGAGATGATGAACTCGGACCTCTGCCTCCTTTCGCCAAACAGGAAGCTCACTGCCCCCGCCGCCGGCCCCCGGGGGCCTGTCCCCGGAAGCGGCGGCCGCCCCGGGGCCCGGGCCGGGTTCGGGCCGCGTCGGCACTTGGAGTCACCGGCCGCTCTACCTGCCTGAGGCCGCGACTGTTGCGTCACTTCCCGGGAGGAGCCGGAAGTCCCGTCCCCTTCATTCCAGTACTTCCCCCGCCTCCTGCCCTGCTCATTTCCGGTTTCCTCTCGAGCTCTCCGAGCGCTTAAGGGAGAGGACGTAGGGGCGGGAGTTCCACGTCGCCGTGGAGACCAGCTGAACGTGGAAGCCAGTGATTGGATCAGAGAGGCATGGCTCCGCCCCCCGTCTTTGCACCCAATCCTCCTGGCCAGCGGCATCCTTACGCTCTCCCAAAGGCTTCGTGCGGGCGCTGGGGCCGTGGCCTCCTCCCGTCACTGCCCGTCGCGGGGAGGGCGCGCGAGGTCAGCCGGCGCGCCCCCCATTGTGCAGTCGCGGGGCAGTGGCGGAGCCAGCCGGGGACCTTGGCCAGCGGGGGTGGGAGGGACCGGGAGAGATGCCCCCCCCCCGCCCCGGGGTGGGGTGGGCGCAGGGAGAGACCCCCGCCCGAAATGGGAGGGGCTCAGAGAGAGACCCCAGCCCGAGGTGGGGGGGCGCAGAGAGAGACCCCGGCCCGAGGTGGGGGGGTGCAGGGAGAGACCCCGGTCATTTTTCACCTCTGGGCCTCAGTTTTCTCGTCTGTAAAATGGGGCTTTAAATTCAAACTTGATCAGAAGGGGCGGTGGAGCATCTCCTCTGTGACCTCCAACTTCTACCTTCCAGAGCAGCCCCTTCCCACCTCGGGCTGGTTCTCTTCCCATCAAGCCAGTGTCTACTTCTTCGAACCCCTGCCAACAGTTGCATAGGCACTGGACCACCTGGGCAGTGTGATGGTCTCCAGGGGTACAAAGGCAAACAGGAAAGGCCCCAGTGCTCTATTGAGGGACCCAACATCTGCCCTTAGTGGTATATAAAGATAGGAACCAGTACTATCAAACACAAAGAAACCAATACAACCACCGTACTGATTTAAAGAACCACAGATTAGCATTATGTTGTATTTTTATTGAACATCCCCCCCCCTTTAGATTTTAATCTGAAGTTTCATTGGCAGCTCTGCTATGAGGCGCTAGCAGGTGAGGAAATTCCTCTGACACATAGAATCATGGAGGAGACAGCATTGAGTGGTTGAATGAAGCGCTCAGGTTAAGCCACCCGTATGTCAGAGGAAAGACTTGAATCCACTTCTTCCTGGCTTCAAGGCCAAGTCTCCATCCACTATGGCAGGATGTCTTTCCACATACTAGTTCATACAAAGTTTTCACAGAGGAAGACACTGGCAGGTGGGGGAAGGGGGATTGGGAACAGCCTCATGCTGAGCTCAGCCCTGGAATTTGAAGGATATTGGGGATTCTAAGATTTTAAGTGAGGAGGGAGTGTATTCCAGGCATGAGCTTCAGCCAAGGCAAAGGCATGGAGATAGGAAATAAAGGTTGTGTGAGGAAAAGCCAAGAAATCCAGTTTGGCTGGATTGTGGAATGCATCTGGAGCCAAGCAGAAGAAAACAAACCTTCTTCCACATGCCTGCCTTAGTAGATCGTTGTTGCATCCGAGCTGTCCCAGTTCCTTCACTTCATCCAAATAGAGCACGAACTCCAGGCCTCATCTGGTCACCCTCCTCTGGATGCTCAAATATGGCACCTAGAACTGAGCACATTAGGGCAAAGGGCAGCAGGACTGTCGCCTCCCTTGGTCTGGACACTGCCTCTTGATAAAGCCTGTGATCACGTTAGCTTTCTTAGGTGCCCTGTCACGCTACACTGGTGTTCAGCTTGTACTCCACTAACACCCACATACCTTCTTCAAAGGAACCGCTCTACAGCCACTCCCATATTGTACTCAGGAAGCTGATTTTTTTTTTAAGCCCACTAAAGATTTCACCTTTACCCCTATTCATTTTCATTGCATTTGACTTGGCCCTGTGCTCTATCTGGTCAAAGTCCTTTTGAACCTGACTGTAATCTAATGTGTTAATTATTTTTTAGTTTTGTGTAATCAGCAAATTTGATAAGCGTGCCATCTGTACCTTTATCTGAGTTATTAACTAAAGGACTAAATGACAGGACAGGGCCAAGCCCTGGGAGACCTTCCAAGTTGTCGCTGAACCAGAATGACCGCACTGTCCGGCCAGTCAACCAGTTCCATACTCATCCTTTCCAGTTTGGCCAGAAGAATAGCATGAGAGAATTATTACATCCTTTCCTGAGTCTAATACCTCTGTCAAAAGGAAATGGGGGGCCGCTAGGTGGCACAGTGGAGTAGAGCACCAGCCCTGAAGTCAGGAGGACCTGAGTTCAAATCTGGCCTGAGACCAAACACTTGACACTTACTAGCTAGCTGTGTGACCCTGGGCAAGTCACTTAACCCCAATTGCCTAAAAAAAAGAGAGAAAAAGAAGAAATGGGGTTAGGTTGGCATGACCCGTTGGTGAAGCCATGCTGGCTCTTGAGGATCGCTGTTTCCATATCTAGACGTTATTAACCATCTTTTTAATAATTCAACCTAGCTTAACTCTTAAGAGCTTTTTCAGGCCTGGCATTCTATGAAATAACTCGTGCTTTTATAGCCAACGCACTCTGCATACATTATCTCATTTAATTTTCACAACCGTAAGGTAGGCACTCATTCACTCATTGACTTTACAGCTTAGGAAACTGAGGCAAACAGGTTAAGTGACCTGCCCAAGGTCACAGCTATGAAGTGTCTGAGGTCAAATCTGAACTCAGATCTTCTTGACTCTAAGGGGCCATCTCCGGTTATCCTGGTTTTCATCTCACCACTGGACCCATATAACTCCAGAGAAGACAGTGAGGCTGGTGACTCTGCACAGCCCTCCCTCACTTAAATCCAATTCACTTGCAAGTCATGGCGTCTTCCTGATGTCCTGGTCCTCTTGGAGGAAGCAAAGGACAAACATCAATCTTGACTCTGAATCCAGCTTTCTCTCCTTTGCGCCACCTAGCTGCCTATTCCCTCAATCTATTCTTGTTTAAAGATAGCCTTTACTGTGAATGAGGATAAAAATGAAAACTAATAAATAAAAAATGAGGCAAGTCAGTAAAAAGTTACAATTCATAACAAGAATATGTTTCATAATAAACATAAAGGATTTTAATTTTTGATTAATTATTGAGCTTTTCAGCTTCAGTTATTGAAAGAATACATAATTTCTTGAACTTTTGGTTTGAAAAAAAAAACCATGTGCCCTGATTCCCAATGTAGTATAACAGCCTGAAAATTTGAAAGATGAAACAATTTCAAACTTTTTACATAATAAAAAAATATACCATATTGGTCTGAAGGTAGGTCTCACTTCCCCCCGCAAATCTGCCTTGTGTAAAACCTGTATGACCTAGTCAAGGGTCAACGGCACCCAGATCTGATTGTTTAAGTTTCATCGTGAGCATCTACACCTCAGAAGTCAGCAAGCACTCCAAATCAGAGTTTGAATTTATTGTTTTATTGACTGTCTAAACTTACTAAGGTGGAGACAGTGTTAATGCAGATTAAATTTAAGTGTATCCTCCCTGCAGTTTTGTTGAAGAGTCTTGGTTGTTAATCATTTACGAGGACACCCCTGCCTAAACTTAATGTTATTCTTCAGTGTATATATCTGTTTATGTTTCCCTTTCCAAGAGATCCAAGGTGATCTTTGAGATTTCTGCAAATCTGAATCTGTCTGATCACCAATTTATAGAGTGAAGTCTAAATGGTAGAGGTGTCTACTTTACCTGCTTCCTGAACAGTGACCACCAGGGCCTTAGAGTCTGTCTTCTAGCCAATTCCCATTTCTCCACATTTTTATGTAGTATTCAAGTCACCAGATAAATGAAAGGTCTTGCTTGAGTTACCTTCAAGCACCTGCACATTCAGAATGGTACCACCCACAATCTGAATTAGTGGAATCTTGTCAACCTTCTTTCTCAATGAGGAAAGGCTTTCATACCTCTCCTTGCAATAGAGAGGAGCCATCTCCTTGGGCCTCTCCATTTCTTTTGTTCTGGTTTGGATTTCCATTCTAAATGTCCCTTAAAAATTCATGAATTAATGTTTCCTTGAGATACAAAATATTACTGGCGGGTTTTTTTGGGGGGGCTATTGATTTGAGATTCTTATGTATCCGTGAAAAACATGCAAATATTCCTTTGTTTTCTGTTAAATGTTAAATGTTAAACAGTACATTCATATAGAAATTCACGGTCTAATTTTGCTGTACACAGGTAGAGAGCTAAGTACTCCTAACATCCCCTTACAAGGATTGTGTGAGTCTTAAGTGAAATAGTAGATATAAAGTACTTTGCCAGTTTCAAAGCTGCACTCCACAAATGCCAGGTCTCTTTATCCTCTTTCTGTTTAATTCTGAGTCCAACTTGTCTGTGTCAAATCAACAGACATGTACCATATGCCAGGCACTGTGCTAACTTCTGGGGATACAAAGCAAAGCAGACTTTTTTTTTTTTGGCTAGGCAGTGGGGTTAAGTGACTTGCCCAGGGTCACACAGCTAGTAAGTGTTATGTGTCTGAGGCTGAATTTGAACTCAGGTCCTCCTGACTCCAGGGCCCATGCTGTATCCATTGCACCACCTAGCTGCCCCCAAAGCAAAGCAAAAGAAGGATAGCTCCTGCCCTCAAAATACTTCCATTCCAGTGGAGGAAGATGGCACATGAAAGGGAGCTGAAAAAAGGAGACTTCAGCGCCTTCCTCTTTCTCCTTTTTTCAGCTCCCTTTTATCTTAGGTATGAGGAAGCTCCCTCCACCAATGCAGGTAACACACCTGCTCTACAACTCATCTTGGAGAGCTTCCTAGGCCCAGGGTCACACAGCTAGGATGTGTCAAAGGCAGCATTTGAACCCAGGTCTTTCTGACTCTGAGGCTGGCTCTCTATTCACTGTGCAGCACTGCTTCTCCTGTTTAATTTGCTAATCTGATTAAATTATTAGATGGCATTGTCAGTCCTATGGGCTCTGTCTTTGAGGCTCACTACTCCTGGGGCTCCCTTGGAGTCCGGGACGGCAAAGCTTGCGCTCACCCAGATCTCAGAGATAGGACTGGCTGGCTCCCTTGGGGAGGTAAGCAAAGGCTTTGCAGGAGCACCCTTCATTCCTGGGGAAATGCTGCTACCTTGTGGGCACTGGGGGAAATGTCACAGCTGGGATCCCTTCACCAGCACAAAGGGGTGTTACTGGATCTGGCTAGGGATGGCGAGAACCATCTTCCAGTCAACATGGACAGTGGTCACCAAGGGCGTGACCTGCACAGTGAAATGTGAGAAAAGCCAATTAGCATCTGTGTGA